AGCTCGAGCAACTGGCGCATGTTCTTGTATGGGATGCTCGGCTGAGCGCCGCGCCATACGAACAGGTCTGGAGCAATGCACTCGGGTAGTGCCGCCAGGAGGGCCGAGGCTAAGTGGCTATCACTAAGGGGTCGCCCTTCCAGCTTCTCCACTGCCGTTCGCATCTTGTCGAAGGCTTGGAGGTTGACGTCCAACGACACGTGAGGCTTGAACTTGAACGTGTGTAACCGTTGGTATACGGAGATAGCCGTTGCATGTTTTTGTTCGTCGCTGGAAAATTTCCGCCGAAGCGATGAAATGATGCTATGCGCTCATTCGTCGCGAATCCCGGCAGCGGCATCGCGCTGCGCCATGGCAGCGGCATCACGCTGGACCGTGGGGGACAAGGAGGCGTAGACCAGCGCGCATGAGCGCGCGATGGCCGTCTTCTCCAGCTTGATCAACTCATCCACGTGGTTGCGGATGGACTTCGCGATCGCTTCGTCCGTCGAGCGGTTGTCCTCGAGCCACTCGGTAAGCTCCGGACCCAGTGGTGGGTGGGCGTCGAGCGTGAGTGGTGGGAGAGGGGGTGAGCCGGCAGGCAGTGCTGCCGCTTCGGCTTGGTGCTGCCGGATGCGCTTGCAGTCATTGAGGAGCACCTTGTAGGCTCGACGGAGTCCCTTCATGGACGTGGCCGTCTCGACTTGCGCGCAGTGAGTCGCCATCTCGGTGTGATCCTCACCGGCAAGGATGACGGAAGGGAGTTCAAAGAACCACTCGTCGAAGTTCTCGGCGCCGAGGAGGCGCTGCGTGAACGATAGGGCCGCGCGAGAGGTAGCGGGTGGAAGGCTCATAACCAGTTGGAAGGGCAGTAGGCAGGAACAGGCACTTGGCAGGCAGAAGGAATAACTGGAAGTGAATTACTTCTGACTGGAAAGAACCAGCCAATCAAAACTAACTATGATTGATCACGACATCCAATGATGTTTCGTGACCAAATGTCTGCGCTGACTTCTACTCTGAGGAAAAGCCTCTAGAAGGCACAAAAACCTCCTACACGGCTAGCAGACGCTGTTACCTGACTGACAGGGCAGTGGGGATGTTCTCTATCAGAAGAGGGTGTTCTGACTTTTTCATTGCCAATACAGATGACGACGACGGTGAGTTCGATAAACTTGCAAAGCAATGCGCCTCGAACTTTTCAGCACGACCTAAAGTGACAGCGAAATTGCACCAAAGGGTATATACAGCACAGATAGTATATTATTACTACGCTGTAATTCAGTATACTCACTACCAACACAATAGAACATTTAACAGGCGGGCTTGGTGGTCGACGCCTTGTTGGCGTTAATACGACCGTAACCAAAGTCGTTGTTGGGGTACTTCGAGTCACTCACTCCACCGCAGTTGGCACCGGAAGGCTTCAACGAGGCCGTGTCAGCTGTAGTCGCCAGCAACTTGTACACAGTGTCGTACGACGCTCCAGGGTTAGCGTTCAAGATCAACGCCACAGCGCCTGCCACGTGGGGGGATGCCATGGAGGTTCCCGAGAAAGTCGCATAGGCGGTGTCGGAGGCCGAACCAGCCGAGCGGACGAGGCGACCGGGGGCCGACACGTCGGGCTTGATGAGAGTTCGGTTGGGTACCGGTCCCTTGGAACTGAAGCTGGCCAAGAGGTCGGCCGAGTCGGTGGCCCCTACGCCGATCACAGATGCAGATTCACCGGGAACGCCCACGGTGCCACAGCCGGGGCCGGCGTTGCCGTTGGAAAAGACGGGGATGATACCCGCCTTGCGCCACGCTTGAATCGACGCTTCGTACCAGGTGTCGCCGTTGCGGCGGGACCCCCACGAGTTGTTGACGACGTGGGGGGCGAGCTTGCAGTCGGGGTTGTTCCCGTCCGTGTCGGTGGGGCATGTGATGTACTGGGCGCACGCCAACAAGTCGGTTTGGGGGCACGAGCCGGCGGGGCACCCGGCGCACGCAATCCACTTGGCTTCGGGAGCTACACCGATGCCGTTGAGGCCGGCGATGGTGCCGGTGACGTGGGTGCCGTGTCCGTGGCGATCGTTGGGGAGCTTGGACTTGGTGGAGGGTTCGTACCAGCCGTTGGCCGAGCGGAAGTTGGCTTGCAACGTTTCGTGGGTGAGTCGGACACCCGTGTCGATGGAAGCCACGACGATGCCCTTCCCCTTGTTTCCACGAGCCCACGCGGTGGGGGCGCCAATGATCGTCACGCCCCACTCCACAGTGGAGTTGGTGACGGCAACGTGGGGGCCATCTTCTTTGATCACGGGCAAGTCGTATACTTCCACGGGGCCGATGCTCTCCACCGACGGCAACCCGCTCAACTGATCGACGAGGTCCTTCTTGGCGCCTTTGATGTACAAGAGGGTATCGATCCAGTACGCGGTGTACTCGACACCCGCCGCTTTCGCCAGCTCGACGCCCGCCGCCGTCGCGATGGCAGAGTCCGCAGATAGAGTGCTGAACACGGCCAGGGCGCGGTCTTCACGGGGCAGCGACTCGGTGTCGAGCTTGGCGAGGCTGTTGGGGGACACGAACCGAACCATGATCTCGGTTTCATCGGCGATTTCCAACTCGCGGAGCGTGCGGTGGGAGATCGTGGCGGCGGCGGTGGCCGTGAAAGCAGCAGCGAGCGAGGCAATGCGGACCATGTGGGTAGGGCCAAGTCAAATGCAGAATGATTGAATAGCCCACCAACGGTCAACAACAGTTGGACGGACCTCCTCTTGGCATATTCTTGTCCGTGGCCGATACGAAGTTTTCGACACGCCTGTAAAGCGTTTCGTCAAAAACATCAACGAAACCCTGGATGGATGTTGCTCTATTTCGATTGGGTACAGTATCGGATCCGGCCGCATGTGTGACATGGGGGGATCAGGGCAGCCTGAGCCTGAGAATGTAGGCGCGTCCATGGCCACCCGTGAAAGGCCGAAGGTCAAATCACTCCACTTTTCATCGTGGCTGCTCTGAGGCAAGGTTGTTCCACGAATACGACAACGTGATAGCCTCGATAACATGAAGCATCCGTTTATTATGAAGTTCCTATAAGGAAACAGCGACAACGAGCATTTGATATATTGTGACCGATTTTTTTGGTGTAAATTGTCCACTTCATAATATTGTCGATTTGATACAAATTTGGGGAGGGGGTGCAATCGAATCGCGCCATGGCCTTGCGCCCGTTCTGGAGCAACTCGATGTCGTCCACGGCCTTGTCTTGGTGGTCGTCGCTGGTACTGGGCACGTCCTTCACTTCAATGTGCTTCAAGATGGTGCCGTGGATGCCGCACGTGGACCGTTGCAGCAAGTTGCCCACTGCCATCAAGATCTGACCCACTTCCGACCAAACGGATCCACAATCGATCTGATTGGTTCAATTTCATTGAGAAGGTTTTGATTGGCTAATAATTTTGAGGTCTTCTGAAGTAGCCAATCAAATCGATTTAAATTCCAACGAGGACACAACACGAAATTTCACTCGAAAGCACAATAGGGGTCTACAATTTATTGCAGGCAACAACAATCTTTAGCAGGGGTTAGTACGCTCGGCGCGTGTAACAATTCATTGCAACTTGTCCGTCGAGAATACAGTACAGTATGTACGTCAACTACATTACAGTACCTTACCTCTACAGTACGTGTTGTCTGCAGCTGTCAACCGATCTTCCCTATTCCCGCAATACTTGCCAAACCACACTATTAGAGAGGTTTTGTAAGTGTCCGCTCGTGGTGGCGTTCTGCTCCGAACCATGCTTTTTGTGTTCGAGGCAGTTCGAACGGAATATCTAACATTATTAATAGTGGGTGTCAGAGTTGCATTGTCTTGCACGAATGCGTTGGCGTTCTGCTCACAAATATCTGTATAAGTAAATATTATTCGGATATTCATCCACGGGGGAAAATCAATTTGTCCAGCGCAGTGGGCGTTGTCCTTGCTTGCCCCCTTTGTCAAAACAACGACACGTCAACGACGTTTCTTCGTTCTGTGTGCGTTGAGCGACCAGTTATCCCAGACATCCGATACAACCTCAATGCTGTGTCCGACGCCAACGCGCTGCTGGACTTTCGCTTCGACGTCATGGGAATCAAGAAGTTGGACTACCTGCTTGGTCTCTCGGTTGTGGTGATTACTGCTCAACGCTACCGTGCTTCCCGCGACGAAGCGATGTGTATTTTGCTCGGCCGTTTGGCGTTTCCAACTCGTTTCCACACCATGACGCAGACGTTTGGGCGTTCACGGGCTGCTTTGTGCGCAATTCTTGTCCAATGTAATTGGAAGAACAAGCATGACATCTGCTTTGTCGTTGAAGACGCAGCGGCGCTGAGGTGTCTCCATGCCTAGCAAGACGACCCTCCAACCAAACTTGACACGTCAGGTTTGAGTGGCGGGTGGTGCAGTTCTTGATTGGCCAAGAACCGCCAATCATATGCAGGTATCACGGTGCAGACTGGAATTGGCAATCAGATTTAAGAGGACGCGTTCGTGTTCTACATAAAGTTTGACAGGTCTCCGTCCTATACAACTCGTTGGTCCGCGACGGCCTCCATGCAAACCTAACTACCGCATTCGGCGATCGCACTCCAAAAGTCGAACACACGTCTGGCACGATGGAGTGTTTTGGTCATTTTTGGCCCCCGTGAGGAAGTGTTTCGATCTGTTCAACATGCTTCAGCAGATCAGTGGAACCAGTGGAACACACGAACACTTGCAAAACCTCTCTAATATTGTGTGAATCCTGTCCTGGCTAAATTATACGGAGATTGATGTTGTTCGTTCATACGACAAGGCAAAAGTGGGCGTCGCACAATTGAACAACGTTACCAAATCAGCGGCACGGTGCAGGGAATTCCAGGTTCGCAACATTTAAGTATAGTATGTACTGTACAGCAGTGCTTACTTTGACTTTGAGTTATTCCCAGGTCAAAGTCAAATTTGCAATCTCGGCCAACACCTGCAACCGGGGGATGCCATCAAATCTCCGAGAACATCGTTCAAATCGGTAACATTTCATGTATTGATTGCAAGTGTTCCAAGTGTACTATCAATTGTCGAGGGTTACAGTGTGCATTTATATTTCACCGGCCTTACCAATGACGGCAAAGTGAATGTGGTGGAATAGCTTATTACAGAAAGCTCACTGGCAATGTCCTCGCTGCAACGACATGGAGAGACATGTACATGAAAAGACAATTTCATTCATTTAACACGGACATGGCATTCTTAACAACGCTGTCAAGGATACGTACACGAGTGAAATCTCTAGATTTAGCAAGCGGGCTTGGTGGTGGTGGGGGCAGGGGACGAAGGGGCCGGGCCCGACGAAGTCGCCTTGAACACGTTGATACGACCGTAACCGAAGTCGTTGTTGGGGTAAGTGGCATCACTGACACCGCCGCAGTTGGCGCCGGATGGCTTCAACGAGGCCGTGTCGACGGTGTCCGTGATCAACTTGTACACGGTTTCGTAAGTGGAACCCGGCTTGGCGCCCAAGATCAACGCCACCGCGCCGGCGGTGTGAGGGGCAGCCATGGAGGTCCCCGAGAAGGTGGCGTAGGCAGTGTCGGAGGCCGAGCCAGCCGAGCGGACGGACTTGCCGGGGGCAGACACATCCGGCTTGAAGCGCTTCTGGAGGGGTTCCGGGCCCTTGGAGCTAAAGCTGGCCAAGAGGTCAGTTGCGTCGGTGGCACCCACGGCAATGACAGACGGTGAATCACCGGGGGAGCCGACGGTGCCGCAGTTGGGGCCAGCGTTCCCGTTGGAGAAGACTGGGATGATACCCGCCTTGCGCCACGCGAGGATGGCAGCTTCGTACCAGGTGTTGCCGTTTTGGGTGGAGCCCCACGAGTTGTTGACGACGTGGGGGGTGAGCTTGCAGTCGGGGTTTTGGCCATTGGTGTCAGTGGGGCACACAATGTACTGGGCACACGTGAGCAAGTCGGTTTGGGGGCACGAGCCGGCGGGGCACCCGACGCACGCGATCCACTTGGCTTCGGGGGCTACACCGATGCCGTTGTTTCCGGCGATGGTGCCGATAGTGTGGGTGCCATGTCCGTGCCGATCGTTAGGGGCCGACGAGTTCGTGGCAGGCTCGTACCAGCCGTTGGCCGAGCGGAAGTTGGCAGCCAGCGCTTCGTGGGTGCCGCGTACACCCGTGTCGATGTTGGCCACGACGATGCCCTTGCCCTTGTTGCCGAGGATCCACGTCGCAGGGGCCTTGATAATCTCCACCCCCCATTCGTTGGTGGAGTTGGCAGCGATGACGGTGCGGGTCTCGTCTTGGACCGCAGGAATTTGGTACACTTCCACGGACGCGACGCTTTCGACGTTAGGGAGGGCGGCGAGCTGCGCCACGAGCTCCTTGGTGGCACCCTCGATGGCGACAACAGAGTCGATCCAGTATTGCGTGTACTCGACACCGGCGGATTTCGCGAGCTCGACAGCCGACGCCGTGATGGCAAAGTTCTCGGCGGTCAACGTGTTCAACACAGATTGGGAGCGTTCTTCGCGGGACAGAGACTCGATGTTGAGCTTGGCGAGGCCGGAACCCTTGCGGTACGTGACCAACACTTTCACGGTGGAAGACGTTTCCAAGTCGCGGAGGGTGCGAAGGGAGACCGTGGCGGACGCGGACGCGGCGAAGGCGGCGATCGAGGTAATGCGGACCATGTTGGTAGGAGGTAGGCAAATGAGGAATGGCTCTGGGGGTCCAAACCTGTTGTTGCGTGGCCCCTAGAACCTCAGTCGGGAACACGAACCAGGGATTCCCATCTGACGTCGTTCAAGAATGTTGAGCCTGGTCACCCAATCAGCGGAACTGTACCCAGGGATGTAACGTGGCATGTTATTTCAAGGCGTGCCAGCCTTTTGCACAACATTGGCCGTCGCGGTTGTGCAAAGGTAGTGAAAATGAGAGCGAATTTCAATCATGCATGTTCCTATGGTACAGTTCCCGTAGGAAAGCTCGTACCACAATTGAAATGGATCCATGGTACAATACTTATACTAGTACACTATTCTAGTACTGGTATGCCCCAAGGATCAATTATTATTGTACGTCCCACTATCGATGAAATGCGGTTATTACGCACTGGAACTTCGTCGATAGGCTGCCACTCCTTCGGCAGCCGAGGATATAATGCTGGGCCATGGCTTCTTGATATCGAGAAGAATGCAAGTAAGGAATGTGCATTGATTGACTGTGCGCACTTGGCTCTGCGGTACACTATAGACCCGACCTGAACTACAGGGCGGCCCAAACACATGGCATGCACAATCCATTGCAGTGAAATATGGTTCGACGACGACACGACTTGCGATTGTAGGATATCATGGCTGTTTATGTTGGATTAACCTTGAATACTTCAAGTAATGAACCCTTCCGACTGCCAGCAACCGCTACTGGTACATAGCGTCGCAGACCACGCACTGTAACTACAAACGTACTCGTGGTTTGTATTCAGATTGAGCCTATAAATCTGGGCGTGTCAGGAATACCCAGCGAAACATGTGCAATGCTGAGTGAAAATGAGTATATATACAGGAAGTACTACTGTACAGTACGAATCTGACCAAGGAGGACAATTGTCGAGGCAGCCCACGCCGCCGACCTACTGTAACTTGGTTTTCGCGCCGGCATATTTGGGCGGCATGAGACCCTTTCTTGCTCCACATGACCAAGACGACAAGGCCTTCTAGGTTCTTCGAAGGAATTGATTGTACTTCTGCGATTGCTGCCAGTGGTAGTTGAGCATATATATGTACGACGTTGTGTGCATGCATCGCAACACAGCGACAATAATCACTTTGCTCGAATCACACGATTGCAAAGTCCTTTCCAAAGCGTCGCGAAGTAGCACCGGTTACACGTCGCGCTCAGTCGTCTCTTTTGTCCGTCCTCGGTACTGGTGGCTATAGCCTCCTCTGATTACACCAATAATAGCTAAAGCACGGATGCACATTCCATGGCAAAGAGAATGGAACGGATCGACAGATTATAATAACGGACCCGTGTACAATCACCAGATTTGTCAGTTGGCATCGCGAGCACACCAGCTGTGAAAGGAACGGTTGTAGGAATCAAGCGACATACAATAAGAACACGGTTGTCATCGACAAAGCATCATTCTTTGTCAGATTTTCCGGCATATTTTTCGTCATGAATGTCCAGAGTACGATGGCCATAGCGAGTTTGGCAATTGTGTCGGCGACGGGGGGTCGCATCCGTCCCATTTGCAAGTCCGACTCATTGCCTCCTTCAACTACAATCTTCACCCCTCTATACATTCCGTCCAACACCACCACCACCCCTACATCTTGCCCTCAACGCCAAGCCCTCCCTACATGAATACCACGTTTCGTCCCAACGACTACGAGACTTGCCCCCACTTAAACACCCGCGCTCATTTCAAGATGGAACAGTCATCTCTGTCCGTTCCGGCTCTGGATAGATCCTCGGCCGATACAACAGATGCGTCCCCGGCAGGGCTTATCCAGATTCTGACTTTGTACACGTGACCGGCATCCTTGTCTGTAAATCGGCATTGGGAACTTCCTCGGACGATGCAGTGCGTGCATTCCTGGTGCAGCTGACTCGGATTCTACGTTTTGGCATGTCAAGGATTCGGAGCTGAATGGGGCGGCGTACGTCCAGTGGAAAGTCACCACGACCGACGATGGGAAATAATCACGCTGCAGTCCTGCACTTCCTGGCGCGATCCATGACGTGCGACGTGGGCGTCGTACCCCGACGAAGCGTTTGTGTATGGCCGTGACTGGAAGGTGGGCGGCAAGCATTCTCGTAATTTGGTTCTGATTTAGATGGTGGAAAGGTCGCTCTCAGGGCGGACACAGGTAAGTACCATGCTTGTTGCAACGGGTGCTCGACACGGGCGGCAGGTACGAGCTCGGCAGCAGCTACAGAACTACCCGATCAGTCAATAAACGCTATACCTAATGTTATGTCCATCCCTTCATCCCACGAGTATTCCCTGCATCGAGCTTGTACAGATGGAGCTCACCGTTAACTGTTAGAGTAACGTTAGTGAGGTCGGGATAGGACCAAGTCTCAACATCGCGTCTGTCCAATGGGTGCCTGGAGTCAATCAACTGTGGGAGACGTAGTAGCGACGACTTTTCAGCACAGTCTCACGTCCCAACGTGCGTTATAAACCACCATACAAATCACATACTACTCGATGCCTTTACTCGATTTTCATTAACACGTCGATGACCACCAGCAGAACGTGAACCAACTCGCCGAACACACCCATCTTGGACGCTTGGGCCAAGTACGCCCCCGTGTTGACAAGCACTTTTTGGTCCTTCCCCTTCTTCTTCGTCTTCTTCTTGGTCGCCTCCTCCTCCTTTGCGATGGGGGGGGGGGGCTTGTCGTGGATGGCCACACACTTTTGATGGAGGCGCATGCGGATCCAGTCTACAAACGGCGTCACACATTTATTATGAGCATAATACTGTATGTACGATCCTTCGACCTTGCACCCTCGACACGCGGTGAAACCACTCTTCAAACTCGAGGGATCGAATGGACTTGACGATAAAAAACGTCCGTCGCAGGCCCTCCTCTTCCCTAGAAATCATCCCCCCCAGGACCAGCACCACGGCTATGTACGTGGCATACCGGAGCCACAAGTACGGGTCGGCGGCTGGTCGAAGCAGCTATGTACATATCATATATCATTGCTAACACTGAAATCCATCTCTGTCAACTTGACTTTGCCTTTATGTGTGACCACGGTCGTACAACCAACTGCACTTTGCACAGCATAAAAAATGTGACAACGTACCGTTGCCGCGGTGCAGATGGTCGCGATGCCAATCAACGACGTGATGGCCACAGCATATTTGTGTCGCACGCGAAACCCCGACCGATGGGCAAACACGGTGGCGTTTAGGAACCCCATGAGGTAAATGTCCGACAGCGCCAGGGACGCCGGCGACGTGCCGACCACAAACAGCATCGCAGCCATGCACGTTGCGTGCAAAGCCACCACCACCACGGCGTACAGCTGGGCGCTCAGCACGTCGCTCGTTTGCGATCGGTTAGTCTCGGTCGTGGTCGCATCGGAGCGGAACAACATCGCCATGACCCGCCACCGCCGCGGCGACGTCCTCCACGTCGACCCTTCGACGTCTTCGTCGTCATCGTCGCCTTCCCCCACAAGACTGTACGGGTTTCTGCTACTGCTCGTCGTCCAGTCAGGACACCACGATGACGACGAAGGCCGTGAGGTGCTGACGCTGACGTCGCCACTCCTTCTCGTGGTGTGTTTGCTGGATTTTGAGGACGACCCATCGTCGCTGTTGTCGTTGGTGCTTTCGTTCTCATGCACAAGTGCGGCGTCGCCTTCTCGCGCAGACGCCAGCCACAGCTTGTAGTAGCGGCGACCCACAACGTACATAAACGCCGCGGCACTGACGTACGCGACGTCCACGACACCAAAGCGCAGTCCGTACCCGATTTCAGCGAGATGGTTGGGGAACCTGTGCAGCAACCGATAGTCCTAATATGTGTTCCCCCCCGTGGGGATTCAATTTAGTTAGTTTATACTGGAACATCGTAGTAGTAGTAGTAGAAGTAGTAACGGCGTGCATTAACTATATATCCATAAAGTACATGTTCACAAGGCGGATTCAAGTTAGTTAGTTTATACTGGAACATCGTAGTAGTAGTAGTAGAAGTAGTAACGGCGTGCATAACTATATATCCATAAAGTAGTACATGTTCACAAGGCACAAATACCCCCCAACTATAGCCCTAACGTCGTGCAATGTTGTGGAACGTTCCGAAGTACCAGTCGATGGTGGAACTAGTATAGATTGGAAGGATACCTGGACCGCGAGGAAGAGTTGATTGAGGAGCACGGTCATGACCGTGAACCGGATGACGCGGAAGGATCCTTGATGGAGCACGGCGGCGTTGGGGTTTTCAAACGGAAACGGGTCGATGAGGTACCAGTGCCGGATGAAGCAGTCCTCAACTTGGGCGTGCCGGAACTCCATGGACCACCGGTGCACGAGGTGCTTCTTGGCGAACTTGTCCTTTTGCAGCGCCGCGGAGCAGTCGGCGTCGGTCACGCCGTGAAACGGCAGCTTGAGCGCATAGTTCCGTCGCCGGAGGAGCTCCTACATACATAGTTGCCGTCATGGTCACTAGTACTACTACTACGTAGTACTTTGGTGAGTACCTGGCGGTAATGTGACACCATCCCCGATATGAGCGCAATGCCGTAGTTGATGCTCTGGTAAAACACGTCGGACCGAGTGTCGTACGCTGGACCGAGAAAAGGCCTCGCCACCAGTTGCACCGTCATGTACGTGAAGAAGATGCTCCATCCCAACATGGTGCTGTAGAGAAATCTACGCCAACATGGACTCAGTCTGTCGTGCGTGGGAACGAGTCGTACCTCATGCGAGTGACGCCAAAGAGTGGAATGATCAATATGAGAAGAGGAATCACGGGACCGCGCTGGGCGTGGAGGGGTTTCAGGGCAATCAGCACCCCCGCCACACTGGAAAACACCTGCCACCGCCATATATATGAGCAAAAAAGGAAATCCGTGTGAGGAAGGATGAGTTGAGAGAGCAAGATGAGAAGAAACGGAAAGGGGGTTGGTCGTGTACCACAAAGGACAATGTCTCCGTGTACATGGACAGCTGCCGCACATACGTGAGCAAGAAGCCCACGCCAAACGAAGGCACGGCCACCCCAAACGCAAGAAAGTACGTTACGGATGTGTACGAGATGCGCTGGACATCCCAGAGAAAGTACAAGAGCGTCGCGATGAACCCGAGCGCAAAGCACACGCGTGTGCGAGGCACAGCGGCTCGTTGAATGTACATGCGATACCCGAGTTCGTAGTCGCGGGAGAAGCGCAGTGTGGACGGACTCATACCAGTCTGGCCTTGGATCTTGGCAAATTGATCGTGCCGGTACTTGGACCCGCGGATGTTGAGCATCATCTCTGCAACGACGAAAGTAGTTATAATGCAGAAACGCATTGATGTGGACATATGTAACGTTACCGCGGATGGTGCCGTCGACAGTCTTAGGCGGCGCGTTCGCCTTGAGAATAAGCTCGGCGGCTTCGTCCACTTCGAAAAACGGCGTCTCTATCAACGACCGACGACGGGATGCTGCAGCATAGCTACGACGGCGAGGTTCACTTCCAGCCGAACCCAATGCCACGTAGGGATGTTCGTCTAGAATGGACGTCGCGCCGTCATGCTCCATTTGAAGCAACCGCCGCCTCTGTGGGGACACCACGACAAAAATCTAAGCGTTACGTGATTTATCCGGACGTTTCGAAAAATCTGTTTATCCGGAAAATGTAAAAGAATGTTTAGACCAATGACACACCTCTAAGTTGATCGTTTTGTCCAATCCGCAGTCACGCCCCTCCACCACAAGAGCGAAGATGGTGGAAGGCAAGGCAAGTTCGCGTCGCTCTGGTCGTTCCCCGGATCGACATCCTCGGGGGCGTCGGGATCGAAGCTCGTCGAGAGAGAGACGTCATCGACGTGACGACGATCACCGTCGTCGGGACTCGAAGAAGCGGAAACACAGTCGAAGCAGCCGATCGCGGTCCCGAGAAGGCAACAAACATCGCAGCACTGCGTCCCGTTCAAGTCGAGATACCGACAAGGTCAAGAAGACGTCTGACGTAGTCGCTATTGAGCCCATCGAGGGAACCTCTGACGCATCTAAGCTAGCGGTAGTCAACGAAGTGTCGACGGCGGTAGAAGTGGTATCTTCACAACCGTCGACTGTGAAACCAAAGAAGTCGTCGCGATTCTCCGACAAGAAGGGCGCACGATCGTTCGACGACGATGTGCTGGTGGGTGCGCCATCGGTCGTGCCGTCTGCGGCACCCAAGCCGACCACTTCCTCGACGACCACAACCACCAATGGAGCAGGCACACCAGCGGCGAGTAAGGAAAGCGTGAAAGGCACGATCTCGGACATATTCCGCATTGATAACGTTGTCCCTACAGCAACTAATAAGTCCCTTAGCAAGCCGGGGTCGCTGTCTATTGTGCTGGGAGGCCATCATCGACCGTCTGCTGCCAAAGGTGTTAGCGCAGCCACGTCGTCGCCCCAGCTCTCGTCCAAACCCCCTCCTCCTCCACGTCCTCCCCAGCAGGGAGCAACCGCCAAGCCCCCGCCTCCACCACGTCCGGCTGGGAGCACGGCCAAACCTCCACCGCCGCCACCGCTCGCATCCTTGAAACCACCGCCGCCGCCACCGCCTCCTCAACTCCCGAAACCAGCCCCGCCATCTCCACCGGTCGTGGCGGCAGCTACAAAGCCCTCTCCCCCGCCACCACAAGCGGCTCCACGTCCGTCCTCGCCTGTGAAAGCCCCCACAGCGACCCCGACCTCAATGACGCCCCCTGTTGCTGCGACCATCGACGTCGGGTCTATGAAATTGGACATCTTGAAGGCGTTGGCCGCAGCCAAGTCGCTGGCGGCCACAACAATTGGACCAGCAATAGCAGCAGCAGACAAACCAAGTGCCGCGCCGGCTGTCCCCCTGCACGAGGACGACGCCGCCGCGAGCGGGGGGCTGGAACTGCGCAAGTCGGCCAAACCCAAGCCATCTTCGTCCACCGCGGAGCCGGCTGACGATCCAGAACCGACGGCGGCGTTGTCCGAGTCGTTGCTGGCCAGCCGTAGCGAGGACGACCAAGATGACCACGACGCTCGAGCGACCCCGACGTCCACGCCGCCAGCTGCTGCAGTGACGGCGGCGGCGGCCTCCTCCGTGGTTGTTGATCCTGACAACCCCCTTAAGGCATCAGCAGACCACGCTGCCTTGGAGTTTGACATGTTTGCGCTGGACGACGATGTGAAGGTAGGAGTCCTATCGCCGGAAAAGCAACCGGACAAGGTGTCGCTGCGTCCGGCAGTACTGGCGCTCGAACGCCACGGGAACCACGACGACAGCGAAGGCTACTACAAGGCCAACGTGGGCGAAGTCTTGAACGGGGACTACCGCGTCATGGGCACGGTATGTGGTATGATCATACTCTCTTGTTAATATATATATATATGTATTGTGCGTTCACCGTGGGCGTTGTGTGCTGCTGCTTTGCCAAATCTATTGATCCATTCTATATACTGAATTTTGTATGTAAACACATGTCCATTGGTGATGAAGTGAAATCACGACACTAATTTGATGTTAATCAAGATTTCCTGCAATCTGATTGGCTACATACTTCTGTCGATTCTTCTGTGTTTATATATATATATACATACCGTCGAGGTGACAAGCTTGGAACGTTGTGTAGGTGGGCAAGGGGGTATTTTCGAACGTGCTGCTGTGCAAATGCCTCAAGGGCGACGGCGACACGACCGTGGCCGTCAAGTTGATCCGCAACAACGACACGATGCGCGACGCGGCACAGTTGGAAGTGCGTCTGCTGACCGAGCTCCAGACTGGCCCCAGACGTTCCAAGTACATTGTGCGACTCCTCAACTCCTTCGAGTACCGCTCCCATGCTGCGATGGTGTTTGAGCCAATGCAGATGAATGTCCGGGAAGCGATGAAGAAGTTTGGCGGCCGGGACGGACTCGCCCTCGGCGGCGTCAAAGTCTTTTGCCGTCAACTCATGCTCGCCCTAGACCATTTGCAAACGTCAAACATTGTGCACGCAGGTACCTACGTACTACTACCTACTACTACTACCTACTACTACTACTACTACTACTAGTAATAGTTGGGTGCATTTGTCATTCTAACGTTCGAGTGTGTGATGGATTGTCCAACCCAATGAATCGATCGGATTGATGTGCCGTACTACTATTAATACTCATGGTTGGATTCCATGAAGCTTGGAATCACACTATTTGGAATCACACTATTACACGTGTTAATTGGACGTTTCTGATTGGCTAAAATGTCCATTGTGTTGTGTCGACCCTTTTGCTTTATAAAAAGAAACACAATGATACTATATATATATATATACTAATCCAAACCCATGATATTATAGACATCAAGCCCGACAACATGCTCCTCGATGACAAGCAATCGATGGTCAAGCTGTGCGACTTTGGGTCGGCGTTCAAGACGGGCGCCGGTGAAGTGAACGACCCGACGCCGTACCTCGTGAGTCGGTACTACCGCGCCCCCGAGGTCATTTTGGGGCTCCCGTACGACTTTCCAGTCGACATGTGGAGCTTGGGGTGCTGTTTGTACGAGATGTTTACAGGCAAAGTCCTGTTCCCGGGCCAAACGAACAACGAAATGCTCAAGATGTTTATGGAGCTCAAAGGACGCTTTCCGACCAAGTTGATGCGCCGCCACCGACAAGTGTACCAGGAAAAGTTCCTCATGGAGCCCCATTTCGACGACGGGCTGCGCTTTTGCAGCCGCGAGATCGACCGTGTCACAGGTACGTGAGTGTGTGTTCTTGTATCGAGGAAGCATCATGGTTGTGGTGTAAATGTAGGCACGCCCGTCGTGCGCACTCTCAACACGATCCACGGCACAAAGGACCTCGCGGCGGCGTTGATGGCGGCCAAATCGCACTCGGACGACAAGAAGCTGTTGATGGAGCTAAAGGATTTGCTCGACAAGATCTTTGTGATCGACCCCGCCAAGCGACTCAGTGTCACAGACGCCCTCCAGCATCCGTTTGTCATGCGCACGTGAGGGTTACGAGCGAACGACACGTCCATAGCACACAACGGAGCGATGGAGCGATGGAATTAGATGACGTGTGGCTGGCCTAAGTGAATCGAGAGTGTTTCCTTTGAAGGGGTTCCAGGTCTACAAAGTGTAGTGTTTGCGGCGGTACATTCAAGTGGTCCACACACCTTAGGTGGATGGGGCGAAAGTATATTCTGAACATACTTTAACCTCGCAAATATGCCACGCAAATGTACATGAATCCGAGGACGACGAAGATGCCACCATACACGATCCACTTGTCGGCAGTTTCCCGCCGCTCGATTACGCGCAGCAACGAGCCAGACAATCCGAGGTGGCTCGCGACGTCCAACACCTTGCGATGCACCCCCTTGAGTCGACTTCGCTGGTCGTCTACAGGCAACATTAGCGTACAAGGATGATGGACGATGGGGGAGGGGGGACGTACTGAGATTGGACATGGTGGCGGCGCCGAGATCGTTGAGTTCGTTAATCATTCGCGACGAGCGATGGAGGGAGTCGTGCTCTTGAGAGAGGTAGTGGATGTCGTTGCCGTTCTGGTGCCGCTGCCGCGACATGAGCTTGTCCCGCTCTTGGAACTCGATCTGCGATCGGCTAAACTGGATGCAGCGCTGCTCAAGCGTCGTGTTGAGCAGCATGTATTCTTCGCGGATCTGGTGCACCTTCTTGGCCCAGATTTCGCGATTGCTCGGGTTTTCGTTGTACACGAGGGAATCCAACTGGTCCACCAGAGATTTGAGGCCCGCTGCATTCTCTCGCGCCTGGCTCTCCGTACTGCCGCCGGTTCCATCCGAATTGGACGGCGACGACTCCAAGTAGTTCAGTTGCGTTTTCAGCTCAAACACGAGCTTCCTAGCCTGCGGATACAGCGCCGAGCACGACATGGCAAGTCGAGTGCTTGATAAAGCAGCGATGCTGTGAATGTGGTGGAGGCATTCGATTGGTCAAAACAAAACTGGTCAATTTATGTCAATTCTGTCGAATTCGAAAGCAACTTTTTTAAAAGTTACTACCTCGAAGTATGTACCAGTTTAACGTTAAAACGTAGTATATTATTATACTTCGAAGTATAATAATATACTACGTAGTATGATGGAGCAATTTGTACAGCAATCTCCTCCGTCGCGTCAATGGTGTGCAATTGAGGAATAGCCTCGGCTTCAAACCACCCCCGCAGCTACTTACAGTTAACTTCCATCGTACAGCGCGATTGGTTTGTTTATTCACTTGATCATGTCTATCGATGCTGGCAAACTACTGTTCCATTCAAAACGATGCAACCTTCATGGATCCGCGTTGTGCGATACAGTACATGCATGGCGTTCACATAGCTAACGTTTCGGCAGAGAGCCGCCACCTAGACATTGATCGAACGTACACTGACGTGTATTAAGGAGATGATTGCGGCTTGGCGAATGCAAACGACGCCCCTTTCACTTGACGGTACTGCTTCAATTGACGTTCGCCTTTGCGGATCAAATACTCGATCTTTTGAAAGTCCATTCGGCCCACCGAGGCAGCGTCTTCGCGAAACTTGCGGCGAACAAACTCGACGCTGTCAGCGACGCCGTTGCGCTCCTTGTCTTTCGCGATGGCGAGACTTTGTTTGTACAGCCCAAGAACTTGCAGTTGTAGACCAGAGTGGGTCTTCTTGGAGCTGTGCACCTTCACTTTGAAAGGCGAAACGGGTCCAATCGGCAAGTTCTCGTCGTCCTCGTGGCTGTGGCTGTGGTCATGGCTGTGATCGTGGTCATGTCTATGGTCGTGGTCATGACTATGGTCGTGGTCATGGCTATGGTCGTGGTCATGGCTGTGATCGTGGTCATGGCTGTGATCGTGAGTATGGTCGTGACTTCCTCCGCTGTGCATACGGAATGCCATTGCTTGCCGCCATGGACGCAACAGCTCGACCCGTCCGCGCGCTGCCAGTTGCTGCATCAGAACCGTGATCTTCTGCAACCAAAATGCCTTTGAAGTCAATAACCTTTCAAAAGTCATACACATGGTCTTCCTATTCCAACTAAATATTCGCACGTGATACTGTATAAATATAGGTTTTGCAAAATTTAATCCATGCTTATGATTGGTAGAATTCAGAGTCTCGTTCTATGGTGCAGTCAAGTTACATTTGGCACCATGACCGACATCACGACGGAGCCATGCTTTCGATCGGCGCTGCTGTGGGGCATCTCCACAGGGGTTGGCATTGGCCTCCATCGCTTCCGAGTGACAAGGAAGGTTCAAACCGCATGCGACTTTGCCTTGTACTCGTTCGTGGGCGTCGCTGGAGTCTCGTGGTACGTCGACTTCCTCCATTCTGACCCACCAAGTCACTTTCTTGTCCAGGATTGTCTGCCGAAGCGCCAAAGCTGCCACACAAAAGCAGCAACAACGAATTTTAGATGCCATGAACGTTGCCGAAGAAAACCGACCGTCCGCCCAGTACTTTCGCTCGGAAGTGGTGCCGCCGCCTCAATCATCACCCGACACTCCCTCGTCGTCATCATAGACTGTATGCCTTTGTACTTGTCCTTCAACAAACATCCCCTCCCCTCTCTCGAATGGCAGTTGATGTGGTTTCCATGGAGACTTCTTTACGGCGGTATTATATCAACATGAACTCGCCGACTTGTTCTTCCGCGTCTTCTCCGGTGGCGGCATTTGGTTGGTCGTCATCCCCGCCCATGTCGTCCTCATCGGGATCGTGCTTCTTGGCCTGCAGTTGCTTGAGGTTGTCCGCCGCCAGCTCCGCGACATCGGCATCTACCACCCATCCCATCCATACATCAAATACCTCTTGCGTGTATGTGGCATCATACCTAATGGCCTCTTGGCCCCTTCGAGCGCCACTTCCACGAGGGCGCGGTGCCTCTTTTCCTCGGACTTGAATTTGAGCTTGAGTTCCGCGCGCGTCCGGTTCGGAAACAGAGTTTCCATGAGCGTAAAGTCCGTGCCAATGTGGCTCAAACAGTAAAAGAACTGCTTCGTCTCAATGTAATTCCAGCGGCGGCTCGACGACCGCCCAGACAAGTACCCTACCGGAGGACTCGGGATCCGGACCAGCCTTCACTAAGTACCTCCTACCTGCTGCTCGTCCGAGGCGGGGATGGGGCTCGTGGCCATCAGTTTCGTCGTCTTCTTGCATGAGTTCGTCTTCGTGCACGGTAAGACTCTTGGTGGACAAGACAATCTGGCCATTCACGATCTCCACTTGCGGACGTCCGCTACATGTTGGGTTGTTTGGTGAAATATAACACAATAGACACGACTAGTAGCTTACGTGGCAGCACCACGGGACGCCACGTCCTGTTTTCGACGAGCCGCGGCCTAAGGGCAATGTGTGTGACATACATAAAACGATAACGTCATACGTCGACTCTGGACATGTTGTCTTCATCCTCGTCGTCATTCGAGTGGGCGGCTTCCTCCTCGTCTACACGACGGCGGCCGAATGGCACGGACAGCGCCAATTCGCCCATGGTCATGGACGCAATTTCGGGTTCCGACTCGCGCGACGGCGGCGACAGGTCGCGGCGACTGGCGGACGTTTTGCGCTTGACCATCCGTGTCTCCTATGCGATAACGTGGTGCCATCATGACGTTATATATCGCGTCTTACGGCATGCGGGGCGGCCGCGTACGCAAGGAACTGTGTCTTGACTGGAATCTACAAGAATAGCATTCACATCGTCACATATCGGAATATATAACGTACATGATGGTCTTCATGAAGGTAGCGCTTGGCAGGTTTGCGAGAACGGGGGATTCCTCTGGCAACCTACGTCCACAGGTAACGATCGAAAATGGTGCTGATGTGTGGTCAACCTTGGATCGCGGCGGGAGGCCAAGCAGCCTCTTGGCGGCAGTTCTCCGAGATTTTGGAAGCATCGGCGCCTACATGTCCTCCATGAAACAACGAATTCCAATAGGATATAATGTCGTACATCGTCTGAATCGTCGTCGTCGTCGTCGTCGTTGTTGCCAGCTTTCTTGTTGGTGGTCCTGTTCGCACGAGGACTTCGTTCATCTTGAGTGGCCGCAATGCCACCAGTTGTGGGCTAAGTGTGAAACATATGAGAAAGATGTCAACGAAGCCAACGAGGTGGATGCCTTGGTCGGCGGGGAGGCGGTGGTGGTAGGTTTGTGGCTTGATGGAGGGGCAATGCGAGAAGCTATAGGGACGCCCTAGACCAACCAACACATGACATACAATGCTTGGCAAGGTACACGAGTACCTTGGGCGAAGGCCGGGACGGTGACGGTGTCGAGATTTGCATTGGTTTCGGCGGTGGAGGCAACCCAAACGACCCGCCTGGAGCAATGATGCCTCGAGGAGGAGCAATGATGCGAGGCGCTGGGGAGTTGGCTGGAACTGTGATGCAAATCGGAGCTGGCTTCGAGTCGATGCGTTTCGGGCTGGCAGCGATGGCTGGTGGGTTTGGCGAAGCTGCTTTGCCGCTTCGACGTGTTGTCGCGCGCTCATGTGGAGTGGATGGTGATGCAGCATGCAGATTCTCCTGTCGAACAGGGGAATCATTTCGTGGCGGTGCAGCCGTCCCGGTTGCTCGACCTTTACCATTCTTGGGCGTGGTTGCGGCGGCTTCGACGGCTGGACGGGACGGCGTTTCTTGGGCCTCGTTTGGCGTAGCAGCGGCAGCATTCGCAGGGGTTGTTGGTTGAGACGTCGACGTCTTGACCTTGGGAGCAACCAGCAGCCCGCGGATTGGTTTCCTCGTAGGCTTGGCCTTGAGGAGCGGCACCCGTTGGGACATGGTCACAGCAGCCTCGGTTCGATGTCCTGCAAGTCGACTGCGTCGTGTTTGATTGGACGATTCGATTGGACAGCGTGGGATTGGATAAAATTGATAACAATTTTTTGATTGGCTAAATAGTGTCGGAATTTCCCTGCCTCATTCTATTCATCCATTTTTCTGAGTCCCTCGCAATGGCCGACAACGATCCCGTAGCGCGCGCGCGCGCCATTGCCGCGCGCCTGTCCGCCGTTGTGCCAGAGATGAGTTCGCATGGCAAGAGAAAGTGGGAGGTATGTGTGCATGTGAACCTCCTGCGTGACATGTGTGGAAAATTTCAAATGCATTGCATTAGGGCGACCATGGGAGCGGATCAATGGACAAGAAGCTCAAGAAAGTGTACATTCCTGTGGATAAGTACCCAGAGATTAACTTTATGGGTCTGCTTATCGGACCCCGTGGATCCAACCAAAAACGCATGGAGACGCTGTCCGGATCGAAAATCCTCATTCGGGGGCGGGGGTCGTCCAAGGTACTTTCTTGGTCACCACACACGATACAAAGACGGCGTGGGAATAGGAACCGTCCGGAGACGCCGACGAAAACGAAGATCTGCACGTGCTTATCACGGGCGACACGGACGAACAGATTGCGCGCGCCCAGCGCGAAGTCGAAGATATTTTGTTCAACCCGGAGCAAGCGATGAAGCTCAAGCAAGAACAGCTTCGCCAGTACGTCCTTTCTCCGTCGTCTTGTGTTCGTATTCACGTGCCACATTAGGGTGGCCGAAAACAACAATAACCAAGACGGAGGCGGCGGCCATTACGGCCCTGGCGCAGGATACGGCGGCGCGCCAAGTCCGTACGGCGGCGGCGGTCCGAGCGGCTATGGTGCCCCAAGTGGTGGGGGATACGGAGAAGAGAACACGACGCTCAACATCCCCGTTCCCAAGACGTTGGTCGGTTTGATCATCGGGAAAGGTGGGGAGACGATCCGCGAACTCCAAGGCAAGAGCGGGTGCCACATCCAAGTCGCCCGCGAAAACGAAGTGAATCCGGATCAGGTTGAGCGCACCGTCATGTGCTCCGGAACCCCCGCGCAGCTGGAGATGGCCAAGCAACTGATCACGGATCTCCTGGGCGACCGACTGCACGGCGGCGGCGGCCACGGTGGCGAAACCATGAAGATGCCTGTGCCCAACGACAAGGTCGGGTTGATCATCGGCCGACAAGGCACCACCGTCAAGGGCGTGCAGCAACGCTCCGGCGCGTCGATTGTGATCCCGCCCGCGGCCGACGTCGACAACCCCACAATCCGAACGCTCATGATCTCGGGGTCTCACGATGCGCGGGAAAAGGCGCGCCAGGAGATCCAACTGCTCGTGAGCGACCAGCACTCGCTCGTGCCAGCGGGCGCGAATGTCATTTACATGCAGATCCCCAACGACCGGGTACGGATGATCGTTTCTTTTACATGGGGGAATCTCTTGTGTGGAGCTACTACTACTATCTGTGTCTATGGTTTGTGTTGATGCAGGCTCGAGAGTGTGCTACTGGTTGTGAAAATATGATGACGATCGATTGTAAGCACACCTTGTCATGGTCTCTTGTATGACAAACCCATGTTGCGTCGATTGTGTGGATTCGCTTGTAACGTTATTGTGGATTCGATTGGCTAATCCAAATGTGAGTGGATCTGATTGGCTCTCCCAGCAGGGACAAGTATATTCAGCCAATCAGGGATTATAAAAGTTGACAGCCAATCAGGGATTATAAAAGTTGATAGCGACGATATATATTTTTGCATCTTTTTGAATCAACGGGGGTGTATTTGTGGCATATACATATAAATATATATATATCTGAAAATGTCGTCGTGATTTTCATATGTCTGGTTGTTGTAGGTGGGGATTGTGATTGGACGAGGCGGGTCGACCGTGAAAGCGATCCAGGACCGTAACAACGTCAAAGTGCAGATCCCCAACGTGGTGGACCCAGGGTCGATGCCGGAAGTGCGGACGATTGCGATTTCGTCCAACAACATGGAGTCCATTGCCATGGCCAAGGCCGAGATCGACGCCATCCTCATGGGGGTAGTACGCACCAACAATCGTTGAGCGTGAACCCGTCGTCACGTTTGATTTGTAGGATGATGGAGGCAGCGGTCGCAACTCGCGGTACTCCAACATGAACCACAACTCCCAGTACGTCGTCACACATTTTTGCTATCGTTGAGAATGGACAGATATATTTACATGTTCAACTAGTTATGGCGCTCAAGGCGGCCACTACGGTGGCGGCGGGTACGACCAGCACCAACAGCAACAGTATCATCAGCCATACCAACAACAGCAGCAGTATCAACAACAGCAGCAAGTACGTCCATCATACATCGCTTACGTCGTTTGGTGTTGCGGCTATGAGGATTCTAAGAGTGTCGGTTGGTTCTTAGTATGCTCAGCCGTACCCGCAATACACGTACGAGCAGTACCAAGCGTATTACCAGCAAGCTGGCTTGTCCGGTGAGGCTGCGGCGGCGGCAGCGGCTAGTGTGGCAGTGGGGCCTGCCGCCGCGCCAGTTGCCCAAGTCGCGGCTGCGACCCCAGTTGCTGCGGTGACGCCCGCGGCTGCCACGACTACAACCACGACAGCTGCCACGACTACAAGCACGACGGCTGCCGCTGACCCGAACGACCCCAACGCGTACTGGAACGGATACTATGAATATGCGGCGTATTACGGCGTGGACGCTGCCAATGCTGCATGGGGTGTGACTGCGGCGGCGACTGCGACTGACGCAACCACTCCTGGTACTGCCGCAGCGGCCGATAGTTCTGCGACAAAGGACCCTTCGTCGGGGGTAAGTTTGTCGAATATTGCATGATGGAGGTATGTATTATTGGTGGAGTCATCGGGGTTGGTTGTAGGCCCCTGCGCCAAGCTCATAAACAATCCATCTGCCAACGTATGTGGCTGGCTGGCTGGTTGGCTTGTTGAGTCGCCTGTTTAGAGTGTCGATGGTGGCATTGTAGGCTAATAATCGAAGGCAACCACTTCGACTGTGGTGTACATACTCGCTGTCGTTGTGCCGCCAGCCTAGTCACTGTATATCGTACGAGTACATCACACTGTAGAAGCATCCTCCTCATAGATTGCGCTCGCATTCTACGTGCTACAACGTAATCCAGACAACATGTTATGGCATGCTTACAAGGAACATGGGAAGAACGGTAGCACAGCGAAGGCTCACTGACGATATCGCCGACACTTTTCAAGGCGTAGAGGACCTCTGTCTGCCTGTACCTTGACTGTGGACCTGAGGGAGTTGGAGTCACAACACGAACGAGGAGTGCCTTGTCCTTGGGGATGTCTAAGTAACGATCTCTCTACAGCCACAAGAACGTGAAAGTGTGTTTGCGTAGCATGCACATCAGCATGGGAATCATGATGCAGCTACTCGGTGGTCGGGTGGATTGTGTAGCGAGAAAGAACGTTGAAGCTGGCACACGTGGCGCGATGGCACGTGAGTGGGAAACTTCCTTGTATGCTTCCAGATGGAATGGGAATAACCTGTATAAATGGATATCCACACCCAAAAATCCAAGCTTCAACGGGGAGATCGCCTGTTCCCTGTGCTCGAAAATTGGGAACGACCGCAGGGAATAGAACCCAAGTGCGCAAACACCCCAGACCGCCGCTTCGTGCTCTCGGAATAGCAAGGCAGAACTGGAGCGAATTCAACAAGTGCTGATTTTCTACCGTAACTAACATAACGTTAAAACTACTATGCGCAATCCATGGTTTGACAGCCGGTGGGTAAACTCGCCCCGATGGCCAGTTGGAAGGTGTGTCGGTATCGACGTCTACAATGCAAAGTCGGCCAAGTAGTGACCACAGCACCAATGGCTATTCCAAGAGGTAGCACATCTTCAATTCCGGTGTCATCTTCAGGGCACGTAAGATAACGCGGACCGAGAACGCGCGTTCGTAGCCATTCTCTTGATCCGTGGATTAGAGCCACAGAAACTTTCTGGAGAAAGTCCATGGAAGCGATTTGATTGGCCAAGCCAATGAGGCACGAGTTGACCCAAAGGCGTCACGGGGATATCCACGATTCAAAACCTGTGAAACATGATGTTTTTGGTCAACCTTGAAAATACAATGGATGGAATGGCTCGACATACTGAAATCAAGTCTCCTGTCAATATTTTTATGAGCTTTCGTGACTCCTCAAAGATATCCAACGATTCTTTGGCACATCGTTTTCATTTTTGGATTTGCATCCGGCTCAAGAGAACAAAGTATGAGCAAGTTGGATCGCGCCGTATATGACCGCTACATGTCGTTGGACACTGGCTCGTCCGTCCAAGCCGAATACATTTGGATCGGGGGTTCGGGGGAAGACCTCCGATGTAAGACCCGCACCTTGGAGAAATCCCCCGCGTCCGTGGCGGACTTGCCCGACTGGAACTTTGACGGTTCGTCCACGAACCAAGCCCCTGGCCAAGACTCGGAAGTCCTCTTGAAGCCCGCTGCCATCTACAAGGATCCTTTCCGCGGGGGCAAGCACATTTTGGTCTTGTGCGACTGCTACAAGCCCGATGGTACTCCCATTCCCAGCAACACGCGCCACGATGCCCTCCGCGTCATGAACGCATCTGCGTCCCATGTCCCGTGGTTCGGCATTGAACAAGAGTACACGTTGTTCGAAGCCGACAAGGTCACTCCCTACGGGTGGCCCAAGGCCGGGTACCCTGGTCCCCAAGGCCCGTACTATTGCGGCGCGGGGGCGCACTCGGCATTTGGTCGTTTGATCGTCGACGCCCACTACCGTGCGTGCTTGTACGCTGGCATCAAGATCTCTGGTATCAACGCCGAGGTCATGCCTGGTCAATGGGAATACCAAGTCGGTCCTTGCGTCGGCATCGCCTCGGGCGACCAAATGTGGATGTCGCGCTACATTTTGCTCCGTGTCTGCGAAGACTTCGGCGTGATTGTGTCGTTTGACCCCAAGCCTATCCCGGGCGACTGGAACGGCGCCGGGTGCCACACCAACGTGAGCACCCAGGCCATGCGCGAAGAAGGAGGCATTGCTGCGATCATTGAGGCGCTGGAAAAGCTCAAGTTGAAGCACAAGGAACACATCGCCGCGTACGGCACGGGTAACGAGCGCCGCTTGACCGGCCGCCACGAGACCGCCAGCATTGACAAGTTCTCGTACGGCGTGGCCGACCGAGGTGCGTCCATCCGCATCCCCCGCACCACCGAAGCCGACGGCAAGGGCTACTTCGAAGACCGACGCCCGGCGTCCAACATGGACCCGTACACGGTCACTTCGCGCATCCTCAAGACGATCATCTTGAACGAAGCCTAAATCGGCCGAGGTAGTTGTAGGAGGAGTAGGCCTCGACGACTGCCACTGTATGTTTTCAAGCAACAATCCTTTATTTGCCATTTCCACTTTGTGTTGTGTGGGCAGTCATTGGTTTGGTGGGTTGAGTTGGTGATCATGAGTTTGATACTCCATGACAAGGTACTATATAGGTAGGTAGGTGTTCACGGTGAATATCACGCTAACCACCACACAGCGTTGTAAACGTAGCCCTGATTGTATGTGCGTACTACTTGGTATCGGCGAATGGCTGGTAATGTCCCTCCAGCTTACAACATGCTAGGAGAACTTCATACACACAAGAGTGATGAGGTTGGTGGTGTGTATTGCTGCGCAACTGCAAACTGGAAATGGAGTGTTGAAGTACGTGGCACAATGCAGTGCAAGTGTTAATTCTGTTTCGAATGCTTGTTCAAAACGGACGTTTTCTAAACACGTCGGTGATTGGGTCGTTTGGCGTGCAATCCACACAATTGCGACGCCTGTGATTGGCTGCTGAAAATACTCGCTCAATAAGCAACACCACCTGTGCAGAAGGTTCCTCGTATGGCTCATTGCTCGCAACGGCGAATGCATCCATCGACCAAGATCAACGTGCCAGTGCGAACGAAGCAGCGGACCCAGCCCGCGGTGCCAGCATTTTGTTCCGCCGCCCGGCCAGGGATCAGCCATAGGAACCACTCGACCTTTGACAAGGCGGTGAGGATGCCATCGACGAGGCACTCAGTGACGACCGCCGCGTCGGAGCGTTCTCCGCCACGCATGCCACGGAAGCACTCGATTTCTCGCATGCCCATGGAATACCGACCCCGCGATCGAGCCATGGCGCCAAGTACAAACCCTTCCTTCAACCACGTGCTCTTACATTGTTCACATAGGTCCTGTTCGAAAGCGTGCACAGAGCGAATGCGTCACAGATGAGTACATGCTACTGAACAATCGGCCACGATCCCCATCCCCATCAGCATCCTCGCATGCTTCCTACGAGCACGAGATCACAGCACTTGAGGACCAAGTGCTTACATTAGAAGGCGACCTCGTATCCGCCAAAGTGGACCTTGCCGTCCAAGAGTTCGACCTCTTGGGGTTGCAGCACGACAACTACCGGCTTCAACTGGAGCATGCCCATGCGACAACTGTGGCGGACGCGGCTCTCGCGGCACTCCAGGCGCAGTACCAGCAGGCGCTCAGGACCATCCAGGACCAGGAACAGACCATACGTCGTCAAGCGAACGACTTAGACGAGTGCCAAGCGTGGATCCTTCGTCACAACGAACTGGCGCAATCAAAGCCACACCAGACCAACGACTCTGCCATATCAGGTGAACTCGAAGCGCTCGAAGGCCTCGGATGTGTCACTCAGAGTGTGTGGTCGTCGCGCTTTCAACCGAGCTTGGGACGACAGTCGACGTGGAAGCAGCAACAACTCGCCCTCGCTCAAGTAGATGCCATGCATGTGCATGTGGGCGAATGCGTACATGCACATTCGCTGCGTGTGGCCGAGGCTGTGCTAGTGGAGCATGCCCTCCTCAAGGCGGCAGCAACCCCTGCAGACGGGGGGACGAACCTGCTGCCAGCCAACGCCACCGTTATATCTGCAACACAACTCAACGTAAAGGATGAATCTTCGCAGGCAAATGGCCGAACGAACCAGGGCCAAGCCAACATTCCCCTTACAACATTTGACCAAGTCGCAGTCGAGCTGGGGGTGTTGGTCGGACGGTATGGACACGTCCAAGCGTCATAGTGTATCGTTGAATACAGCAATAAAGTTAGCCAGATGTACTACTACTGTACTGACGTTAGTGTACTGCTATATAGCCTCCTTAACTGTAAAGTGCACACATGTGATTGTCCATGTTTCAAGCGTATTCACAGACGCGAATGACTTGGACTTGGTGGACAATGGTACTGGTGGCCATAGAAACGTCCATCCTGGTTGACGTTTTGTGGTCCTAGCGTAATACACAAGTGGAAATGTTGCACAGAGTTCGACTCTATCGCAGGAACATACCAGTGCGATCTGTTTGACTTTCTTGGCACGCTGCTGGGCACTTTGCACGGCAAACTCAAACGTGGTCATGTCTGTCGTTCATTGAGACAAGAATGTTGCAATACGTGAAGTACGAATTCATCAACATGCAATGAGATCTGCAACGAGTGAGAGATATGTACTACCGTTGACGTATATGTACGTTTGGAATGCCGCGAGGACAAGCATACCCAAGAGGCCCAACGCGGGAAGGATGGTGAGCCCAGACAACAACGAAGACGCTCTACACAGGCGTAAGAAACATGGATGTTGACGAAGAAGCAACGTACATGCTGGGGCGGGGAACGATGGAAATGGTGTAGATGGTGATGGCATTTTGGGCAAGAAGGTAGAGGATGTTCCAAAGAATGAGCCATCGGAAATGCTTGATGTTGCTCTTGCCAATGCAAGTGTTGAGGTACATGCAGTGGTGGTCGAAGGCTTCAACACACTTGTGGCAGCATTGGCAGTGCCGGGTCGTGCGAGTGACGGTGATGAGGCAGGCTCGGCAACGAACGACCTTCTCCCCGGGAGGAATCGACACGCAATTCGAAGCTGACGTGTCCACAAGAGACACATACAGGAAAAGCCCAAGTGTGATGGCGAATAAGGCGATCATAACATCGCGACATGCCTTGACTCGGGTGGTAAATGTGTCGTCAGCTGGGTAGTCCAGGCGCAATAGGGTGGAGATGGAGAGCGTAGCACACGCCACGGACATGATGTACACCGCCAAGACGCAGACTTGGCGTCCATTTATGGGCCATTGCAGGCCATGCCTGCGAATGGCACGCTTCTTCTCGTTAATCATTGAAGATCAAATGAATCCAAATGTAACTCCCTATAAAATCTAAGAGGTTTCAAGGTTCAATAAGATTTGAAATTCAGGATAAAGTGATAGCTATACTAGTAATAGTAGAAGCGACCATTTGAATTGATGCGGAAGTAATAACGCTATGGCTATGGTTTGATTGACATTGTTACACGAGTGAAGGTAGTTGCATTTGCTGCTGGTTTTGCATGGCTCCATCGATGCGACATCCACGTTTCGTGGTACTATTACAGGTAACGGTTAGTATTTAAAACACCAACGTTACGTATTTTAAATCAAATTTCAAAAGATTAAAATATACAGGTTTCGTTTGTTGAACTTCACAATACTAACATGTAATTAAACAAGACAAACATCTGAGCATAATAATATTGTGCCGCCATGGGCGTGTGGCAGCGCTAAAGTACTGTACTGCTCTTACGGGGGCATTTGTTTGCACAGCGTTATCCCTACGACGTCGTACTACGTAGTACTAGTAAGTGGTAAATAGTAACGTGGACTATTGCGTTGCTACTACACTGTACGTAGGTAGTAGCACAATACATAGCGAAAGCCATTGCCAGGAATGGTTTGGCTTCACCTTCTACGTATATTTACGTACATTATTGTAATGTATTGTTCGATGACTTTTTAATACATATAATACCAATGTCATTTGGAAATACAGTTTCACCACATATAATACCAATGTCATTTGGAAATACAGTTTCACGATGGAGTACAATCGTACAATCGTAATGTACGAAGTGTACGGAACGCTATAGCCAATCACCGGTCGACGGTGCCGCTTGATCTGAACAACACAGCCGCCTCGATCTATCATGTTGGACGAGCGGCACCCTGGCGAGTACGTGTGCATCATCACTGCAGACAGTTGGACATGTGAAGGCGATGTTGGTGTGCACTTCACGAAACCCTTCTTTGCCAAGTGGCATCAAGTCAAAGCCATTGACTCGGACGTCATACGGCTTCGAATCGCGGCGTCTGCCGCTTGCTGTGGATGGCCCAGCCTCCAAGTGGGCCATGTCCTTGTGGCTGTGAATGGCGTATGGATTGGCCACTTGACATCTAGTCAGCTGAAGCTCCATTTTAAACAGGTGTGTCCTTTGATCACCTTCAATATAACAACCTCGGCTAGTTGGCGCCGCCGATCTGCCTGACATTTCGCGACGAATGTCGGGCGCAGTTAGAGGTGTCCCTACTGCGCAACGTGTCGGACACGGTAAAAATGCCGTTTCCGTCTTTGGACAGCATTGAACGCCAGCTCCAACTCGTCCAAAGCCACATCTTTGCCAATGAATTGGATCAAGCGCTTGCAGTCGTGGCGGCGTTGCCACCCGGTTGCCATTTCCACGTGGTTCTCTTCAGGGCCGAGATTCAATGCATTCGGGCCTTGCTAGCCGGCGACAACGTTTCCAAAGACGTAAAAATCCTTCCATCTTTCAAGAGAATCGTCTACTCACGACGACTTAGAAAGCTGTGGCGGATACCGCCGACGCCGTGGCCGTGCTCGGCAAGTTCACCGACCTGCCTCAGCTATCCCCCACCAACAAATTGCTGGCGGACGTAGCACTTGCCGAAGCGTTTGCGTTCTTCAGCATGGCCCAGGTCCTGGCACACCGGTCCCATGCGGGCATTGCTGCCTCGTTGCGTCGCTGCCATCAGCTGTACAGTCAAATACACTCGACACTTGCAACTACATCTTCGTCGCTGGATGAGAATGCTGTGCCACCCCTGGTGCGGCAAGACGTCGTCGGACGTGCGCAGTTGGGCGTGGGGGCATTTGCAATGTGCACGGGCGGCGTGGTCCCGACCGAGTACCACTGGATTCTCCAGCTATGGCAACAGAACAGTCTAGAGGATGGCGTCCGCCTCGTGCACACGAGCTGGCTATCCGAAACTTCGCGGTCTCACTGGGCAGGGTTGATGCTCATGAACGCCACGCCCATGCTGTTGCAGCATTGGGTCGCTGGCCACAAGGCCAAGCGGCAGCAAGCGAACAACCTCCATACCCCTACGACCACTACCACCCTCCCCCCCACAAGTGTTGCAAACATGTCGGCCTACGATCGCCATCATGTGGCTACGCCCGAAGACTCGGACGAGCCGTCGACGGACGACAGCAGTAGCAAGGACGACTCGCCAGCCAACCACAGTGTCAGCCATGGGTTTTTGTTGCAGTCGTCGTGCCTGCTGCGTGTCGCCGCGGGCTGCCTGGAAGCACATCCGCACTGGGCGCCGTTTCTGTGGAGCCGCAGTGTGCATATTCAACATACCAATCCCGTGGATGCGTTGGCGCTCGCACAGGAAGCCGCCACGTCATGCAAGGGTACGTATCCGTACATGTTGCAAGTCCACATTGGCCGGTTGCAGTTCAAGCTGCATCGCATGGACGACGCCGCCGACACGTTCCAGCAAGTGCTGGCTATGAGCGTCAAGACGCCCGCCGCCGCCGCACCCATCGACGTCCACCAAACCACCTGTGCGTACTTGGCAGGCGCGTTGTGTTGCGAGTCACACGTGAACCTTCGCTTTGTGCGATCCCTGCTCGCCCAAACATCGTACGAATGTGACAAGTCGCTTTCTAGATCTCAGAGATATGTTTTCTGTAGCCGGCTATGCTCGTCCAAGGCGTCGGTGGACATGCTGCTGTTGGTCCATCGAGCCAGGTATTACCACGCGCTGGCATCGGACGTACACGTGCGGCTGCTCACGTACGACCTGCTGTACATGTGCTTCTCGGACAACTCGCACATACATCGCCACCGCAAACAGGACGCTCTCCATCACGACGATGACTCATCCGGGCAACACGAGGTCGCGCTGGCCAACTTGGATGGGCTCATGGCCAGCCAATTCCCGCACACTGACGGCGTGTTGCCCCCGTGGCTGGCTCGTTTGTCGTCCTCGGAGGAATCGTCTTCTTGTTTTCCGTACATAGTGGGCGACAATCCCGTGACGATGCAGTTTGCACTCGACTGGCTCACCCTTCGAGGCCTCGTCCTGCTGTACCTGGACGTGGCGGCGGCCAAGCTTCATTTCAAGCGGGTGCTGGCTCTCACCACCGTCGCAGGTGCCTCACGGTCGTTTGGCGTGCCCGTGGCGTCGTTTCACTTGGCTCGGGAACTCGCCCCCGACGACCCCGGCGCCGCTATCGCCTTACTCGACCACGCAGGACAGTGGGGCAAAACCTCCAACGCGAGCGATGCCGTCGGCTACACCACTCGCCTCAACGTGCTGCGGTCGCTGTTACAGCAGCAACCCCCCCAGCCAACATAAGTCCCCCCACCACCAACAACCCCCCCCCCCCGACTCCGTACTTATCTTAGAAAGATGCAGTCATGACGAACCCATGCATCCTTAGCCAGACTGTACACACATAGACCACTAGAACTCCCCCCCCGTTTATTTAACACGGAACAACGTCGCCCGTCTCCCCTCGTCCTACTCCTCGATACTCGACGCGTGTCAACTTGAGCGACTCGCACAAACTCGCGACGGAAGCGTCCAGCGCCTCGTCCAGCACGAGGGTCACGTTCGAGCCGAAGCTCGAGATGTTGAGCACCTGCGTGTCGACCGCGTTGAGGCCCGACATGGCGGCCACGATGCCCGTCGCGTCAAAGTCGTACGTTTTCCCACACAATTTGATCACGCGCCACCGGTCGTGGGACACGATCACAGCGTGCTCGGCAAAATTCGCCAGGCATTCCTACCAACATACACACATGACGACCTTGGACTACACTCCCGATGGGCCACGAACGACGCACGTCGTCCAGAATCAAACTGATTTCTTCGGCGGTTTCGCAATAGCACCAGAACGATGCTGTGGTGGAAGACGACGACGAGGACGACCGCAGAACCAACTGGGTCAACCCAAACGCACTCTCTCGAAGCGCCTCTTTCTTGAGACGAACGAGAACCATACGTTCTGGGTACACTGAGACAGGCATAAACGAATCAACCACTGGATGAGTAGAGTGTAGATATGTATATATATATACCAGCCAGATATTGCCCACAAGCCACGACGGTTTTGTAGTCAAATAGCACGTTCGGGTCGACGCCCAGCCGCAGCTCGCACTCGGACTCCATGTCCTACAACGAATCGTGAGCGCGGGAAGATGGAAGGGATGGCACTGACAGCTTTGAGCCCCGTGACCCCCCGCGACAGTTTGCGCTGCAGACACGCCACGGCCAGGTCCAATTTGCAGGCCTGAAAGGCAATGTCATCGTCGTGACGTTATCAATCACGTGCGAAGGTTGGGATGTCGTCAATGAAGAACCTGCACGTAGATGATGTCGGTGTCGTACGTGCTACAAGGAGAAGCATGAGCGGAAGACGCAATGACGAGAATGGATGGAGAGGGATGGATGGTTGGGTACCTACCTCATGTTGAGAATGCTAATGTTGTCTTCGGCGAGGAGCTTGGAGAGAAAGCTCACAACTCCTGGGAATTCGGCAACCATGGGACCCAAATGAATCTACCACGACAGGAATGGATTATGTGGCGTGGTGCACCCATCATGTAAACCGACCTGGATGGCGCGCCAATGCTGCGGCGCCGTGTGAATTTTGTCCTGCAAGTTCTACATGCACATCAGCAAAGATGATATCGAGACATGCATCAACGTACGGCGGCCTTGAACATGTTAATGCCATTGGGATCGACGAACAACGTGATGCCGTCATTGTCCACCACCATCGAGAACAGTTCGGTTTGCTGGAGGCGGCAAATGTGGTCGCCGGACGTAGCGTCAGCTTCCCGGCAGTTGAGACTGCATTCTCCATACAGCAGCAAGCTACACACAGAGATCACGCGTGATGAACAAACAGAGGCTACGGAAGTGTTTGGTGATTGCGCGACGCTTACTTGAGCAGCGGCCAGCAGCATGCGCGGACATGTGCAGGAGGGATCTGAATCACCGATAGCTCACCTACAACACACGAATGTGGTATGTCGAAGGTCATCGCATGAGAGAGCACGCTCCTACCGGGAAGCAATGTTGCATGGAAGTTGGATGTCGACACTAGTTCCGTAGCGACGTCCATCGTGTCGTTGAAGAATCTTCCAAGTAGTTATGTACTTTTGAAGGAAACGGAGCATCAAATTATAGAGGGTTTCCGCACTTTCTGAAACCGAAATCCGCGCAAATCACGCATGCCCGCAGGAAGGGGCGGCGGCGGTAACCGGGGGCGGCGAGGGAATGGCGGCGGTAACCGAGGCGACAAAGACACTCTTCCTGGACGGTTTCGATCCATGTTGAGTCTATCCAGCATCGAGACGGTACTTGTTAAGGAACTCCACATGTGCTTGATTGGGATTGTGTCAGCGTCGACCACCAAGCGCAGGCTTTAACTCTACCCCGTGGTTGTGCATAGGACTCCAATCCATTGGGCAGTCTACTAAAGGTACATCGCTTTTTCACGAGCAAAGGAGTGGCGATCGACGACATGGGTTATGTTGTTGTATAGCCGTGTCTGTACTTTTACAAGTTCCTTCAACCCCTTGGAGACCGAAAGCTCGAACTGAACCTCCCCAACACGGCACTGTGCGAAATGGCGGAAGGCGGCAAAGAGGACTTGCTGTGGCTTACAACCGACGCCTCGGGACATGTCGTTCATGTTGATCGACCCATCACATGGAAGCGAAAGTTCGTCGCGGACGTGTCCGTTGCCAACGACGACGACGCGCGAACGAACGACGACACGGTGGTGGCGGTGCGCAAGGTGCCGTTCTCCAAGCCCCACGTTCCAGTCCAAAATCAAACAGTGGCCGTGGCAGAGCGAGATCTCGACCGCATTCTCAACGGCGACCCGAAACGTCTGTCGTACGGGGTGCAAAAGTACGTCCAATGTAGAGGAGCGCACGCGGCGCTCTACCGCGTGCAATGGACACGGGGCAGCACCAACAACACTGCCGTCAACATCGTCAACAAGTTGGTTTCCCATATTCCGTCATCCTTCGCCTTAACATGCTTGGTTCTTCATCACTGACAAATGGATGTCGTTGTAGCCTCAACATGTCGGATAGATCTGAGGCTTTGCGTACGAGCTACCCGACTATCGTTTTGACACGAATCGTTCGTTCATGTTGATGAAATAGGGGGCATTGGAGCCGCGCCGGTAGAAACCGACCCGTTCGAGATGGCGCTTCGAGATGCCGCCATCCTTGCGCGATTCACGTGCGTGTCCAGCGCCCCTACGTCGTTGCATGTCGACGACAACGTCATTCACACGTGGCCGCCCGATTTGCATGCTGCCAAACTGCGAGGTACGTACACCCATGGCTCTTTCTTGACCTTTGCTCGCCAACACACATTAGGTCGACCGATCGCGCCGGCTGTGGACGCGATTCAACGCATCGTCGCACACGCACAAACCCACATCCCCGCAGTCCAGTTCAACGACATGGAAGCCGATTTCGTCAAAGATGCAGCTGGCACGTGGTGGTGCCTCCAGGTCAAGTCATTTCGGTACGAGATGCGGGTACCGGGGGTCGTGGCGCTGCTCCGCGAGTCGAAATTGATCGACTCGCTCGTGCACGTCCCCAAGCTGTTGCGTCGACGGCCAACTCGATGCAATTTTCACGACGACGACAACGCTGACATCAGCACGACGGACATCGCCGCCATGCGTCAAGACAGCAGTGACGTTCACCCGCCATCCTCGGCTTGCTTTCTTTGCCACAACTCGTTCGACTTGACCGACGCCGACGCGCTTGGCTTGGTGCTCGACGACGACGACCAGCATGTGTCAATGGGAGCTGCCGCCACAAGTCGTGGCTACGCCATGACGTTCCACATGGTCAGTGACACCCTCACGAGCCTGCGACACCGCGGAGTGCACTTGTCATCTTGGGAAGCAAGTCTCCACCGCGCGACCAGCATCCCCGCGGCGTCGGAATGTCGCGTGTGCTTGGTATGCTACCAGATCTACAAGCACCAAGCAGCCGTGTGCGACACTGCGGCCGCCATTCACCGCTTCTTTGTTCCACCTCCCATCATGCCAACTTTGTTGGTGGACAGTGCCGGGCGACGGGCAAAGCACGACTCGATCTTGCAACGCATTGACGCGTTCCGTCAGGAGCGCGACCCGCATGACTATTCGATGCCAGAGGAAGAAGAATCCGCCGCCGACCACCTTCGCATCGTGCGAGGCCCCGACGTGGACCCGAACTGCCAGCAATTTTGTTTCTTTTTGCTCTTCCACGAGCTCCAAGACGTCCTCAGCAGAGACGACCCTACCAATTACCACTTGGAGTACCAACTCGGCCAAACGTTCAGTACGTTGTCGTTTGACGGACCCAAAGTACACACAGCCCATCGATGGCAGCTCTGCGAGGTAGGTTCACATATATACTTCATTCCCTTGTCATTTGGTGTACATTCTACGATCGAATGAGCTCACGTCGTACATGTATAGGCCCGTGCACATTACGCGGTAGCTACACCCGACGCGCTGCGAACCATGTGCCGAGACCACAAGATCCAGATCAAAATGAAAACGACGCACACGCACGCGTTTGAAGGGCACGCGGTGCTGTCGTTGAAACCGCTGCTGGGCCAAGCGTCGGCGGCGGCTGCTTCTATCGACAATGGCGGCGACCACGACGACGACGACGACAATGATCGGTTGCAAGGTCCGTCGCACTGCGGCGTACTCGTGCACGTGAAAACCCACAGCTTGGGCCTCCTCAAGCTCAAAGTCACGTTGGGCGTATTTGGAACGCACCAGCACGACTTCGCAGCGCTCCAAGGCGCCATCGCTGGCGTCGACTTTGTCCAGGAGCATCAAGTGTTCTGGCCCGATGTGTCGTACTATCAGCCGAGTATCGCCGTCCCCATTGAGTGGATGCCGCTGTTTGCCCCGCCCGACTTGTTTGGACTCAATGCCGAGGGCATTGCCGCCGTTGCTGGGTACGTACAGTCGTTCGTTGGCTTGGCTTTGGTGCTTCTTCAAAGTGATTCTATGGTCACCCCTCTTGACTTCTTGCGTAGTGACGGTATCAACACCCGCCGCCCGTCGCTCGCCCCTACTACTGCCATGACGACGGAGTCTTCACTCATGCATGACCTTCAGCGGCAACGGCGAGACTTGGAACTCCAAGCCCCGTTCTCAACGGTACATATCTATCTATATACATATCAACTACTTGTTCATGGCTGTGCGCGGTGTCGCAGATGCGGCGACTCGTGGGCCGAGTTGGAGGACACATCGACGTTGTCCCTACGTTCTTGGCGGCAACTCTGTTGCGAACCGTAAGCTATGGTTCATGGAAGTCGTCGAAATCTCCATCCGTGTCGTCTTGGCGAGCGCCCTCGTCGTACGCCTTGGCTCCATCGTGGACGCTGGATCAATTGTTCCGAGGCATCGTTAAAGACTCCAGACCCCTTCGACTCGAAGCGATCGCTCTCCTCGCGGAGCTCCTCTTTGTGCTCCTAGACACCCACTGCATCCCGTCCATGCTGCCCCTGTCCGACAGCCTCGAACCCCTCGTGTCTCCGTACTGGCTCCAGCAATCACCGACTAAAGTGCTGGCGTGGCTCACACCGCAAGACGCGCCATCGTCCTGCCCTTCCCAGCACCGCATCCTGTGGAACCGAGCGGTCCGGCGGTGTCACCTCGCCGGGTTCACAGCGCACCCCGATGCCGCCTTTCTCGCCACTCACGAATGGCCGTCCAGTGTGCACATGAGTGCCGCCGACGTCGCGGCGCACAAGAAACGCCTGCGCACGCGCTTGAGGCTGCTACTGCTCATGCACTTGTTTGAGCGCATCGAAGCGTACGATTCAGGGTACATGGACATGGGCGAATTTCGATGCTTGCCACAGGTACCGACCCCCACCAGGCTCAATCCAAAGCGCCAATCTCGTGTGTTTCTCTATAAATCATGGTTCTACTCCTCACGACGGGCGTTGTATAGCAATTGCAGCAACAGGCTGATGCCGCCAACGCCGCGGACGCCAAAGCGACGGCTGGCGGGGCGACGGGTTCCCACTTGATCGCGTGGGACTCTGCCCTTCGAAGGCAGTGGACGACGGCGGTCACAGAAACCACCCGCGACCTGGTGGCAAGTGCCCATTTTCAAGACGCGTTTGCCGGGTTTGACCAGTTTGGCAGCGGCGGCATTGGATTTCGAGGTATACATCTTGATCAAAACAATACTAACGCGTCATATGGGGGAATAGAGTTTTGGGAACTCGCCGAACGTGGAAACGTGTCGCCTTTGATGTGTTGTGCATCAGCAAAGACGAGCCCCGGCTTGTGTCTTCGCCATGGCGTGGTGGCCCCCATACTTGTGAGGGATGCCGTGTGCGCCCAGTGCGATGCAGAGGTACAATATGGAGGCTGTACGTGCACTTTGTTGCCTAAGATATGAATGCCGTGGATCCACAACATGTCTTGTACTAGTATAATGAATGGAACACCCCACCCACCACCTACCTATAACATGGTGTGGATAGTACATTGCGATGGAGGACTACGACGACGACGCCCAGCCGCCCCAAGCGATGGAGCTCGGACGATCCAATTCAGTCATGTCAGACGCATCGTTTGTGTCGCCATCTTTGGGTGTTTCCCATCGTCCCGACGACGAGTACGAAGGACGAGCTGGTTCGTTTGAAGATGAAGACAAGTTGTACCCGTCGTCGCGGCAGTACTCGTACTTTCAATCGATGGAGGCGTCGTCGATGACCAAAGACTTTCAAGACAAGGTGCAGACGCGCATTCGGCAACGCTATCGCAGTGTCGAACGCGTGCCCGACGACCTCAACCCCCACACGCTGGCCGCAATCTTGACCAGATTGGAAGCCGCCGAGCGCGACGCCAAAACCACATACTTCTGTGTCCACGCTTCGATGCCGCGCCTGCCGACAAATCACGACCACCCTCCGCCACATACTACTGATGACAATTATGATGCCCAGCGTGAAGACCATCACAAGGCGGCTGCATTACGGGTGCTGCGTCGGCGGGAGCGGCTTCGTCCCCTGGCGCACCATCCGCCCAAGAAGACAGTCCACCCGACGCAGCAACAGGTCGCCATGGACCGCCTCCACGCTGTGCCCAAGTCCCGCCGAAAGCGCGAGTCCTACGCCGCGCTCCTGCAGAAGGAACTGCACCTGCAGCTTCGACCCCCCGACGACCTCCTCGACCGCATAGGTCGACATCAACGCAAAAAGAAAGCGGTATAGTTCTCTTGTCGATTGACGATTGGTCTAAGTGTTTGTTCCTTGAGTAGCTGGACAACCACGTAGTGCATGCATTGAAGGCCATTCACACCACGTTGGGTGCACGACACGGACGCGCCACAGGATGATTGACGATGAAGGGTACTTACTACTGTAGTATGATGTACATATGTACAGTAGTATGCTGTTATTGTCATTGTTTGCCTCCCAAATGCCCAAGTCTTTGGTGAACATGCAAAACCAACTGTTATCACGTGTGTCTTACAGCTCGACTTGACGCTGCTTGACTGTGAGTTCCATGCGGCGTTCTTTGAGTGCCGACATTTCGTTTCGGATTTCGTTGCGGCGCTTGTTGAGCTGCTCCAGAACTTTGCCCTCCTAATTACAAAACATCCAGTCATATCTGTGACAGAGTCACACTCGTACGGGCTTGGTCGCAAACGACTTGATCACGTTCTCTTGCTCCGACTTGAGCGACGAGAGCTTGGAATCCACGTCTGCCAACGACGTTTCCACCTACTCGGGTTTCAAAATCACCCTCCAAACACATATATATATATATCACTACCTTGAGCTTGGACTGCAGACGCAGATCCGACTTCTTCTCGACGACCTGGTTGAACATTTCCTTGCGCTCTTCTTCGATCGCGAGCCGATGCTGCTTGACAGCGTCCACCTTGGCATGCAATTTCGTCAGCTTGTCCACCATCTCCTCGAGCTCCTTGGCCGCGGGGTCCTGCGCCGTGCCCGCGGCCGCGGCTTGCTCCTGCTGCTCCAGCCGCAGCTTGGCCGCCTGGATCGCCGCCGTCAGCGACTTGTTGTCGCGCTTGTAGCGAATACGCGCGGTCGCCAAAGCCTTGGCCTTTTCTTCCAATGCTTGATTGGCCGCTTGCATTTCCGCGTTGATAGCTCGTTGGTCGTCGTTCTAATATATATAATACCATTATATATATATCACCATCCACCACGGTGGAGGGATTGACAAGAGGGTCGCGGTCGTACCGCCAAGATATCCTTCTCCGTCTACGAATCAACAACACTCGTCCATGAGACACAGGGAGGGGGGTTGTTTGTCGAGATTAGAACCAAGAATACTATGTGATATTTACCGCTTCTTTGCGAAGTTTCTCGACCACGCGGGTCAGTTCCACCGCGTTCGTCTGCAACACGTCGTGCTCCGCCTTCACTTTACGATATTGGTCGATGAGAAGCGCGAGTTTTCGCTGCTGCAGAGCCACTTCCTTTGCTTTCTTCTGATGTTTCAGCCGCAGCGCTTGTTCTTGCGCCGCCGACTTTTCCGATGCTTCTTTAATGCGTTCCTAATTATATTGCGTATTACCACCACATCTGCCAAAAACCATTTGGAGGCAAACAAGCAGTTTGATTGGCTAAAAATACGAATGAATGTTGCAATATGATTGGCTGTAAATCACAAAATACCTCTGAACATAATATATACATCGTCACGGGTTGGACGATTCACTTTTGAGTAAAACCCCAAGAGATGCAAAAGCCAAACAATTGATAATGCTGGTAAAAGTGGACATGAATTCCGTACGTACTTCGAGGTTGGCCGTCTTTTCACGGATAGCTTCGTCGGTCGGCGCTGCACTCGTTTCGCTGGCATTCACAAGCCACGACAACGAGTTCAAGTCGCCAATGTTGTTGTAGTCCTTGGTGAAGTCCTTGCCGGCGCGCGCGGCAAAGCGGAACCCAGACTGCTTCTTCTGCGCGGTGCGGGAGAACGGGTCATCGTTGTCTTCGTCCATGAGTCTACACCAACAAGAACACGCTCAGTGGTCATGCTTGGTGACGAACGACGCGTACGTGGTGTCAGCGTCGCCACTCCACGCGTCGTTCGCGGCATCGCCTCCTTCGGCGGAGTTGTCGTCGCGGCGCTTCCAGTAACGAATGTGCCTCCGCCGACGCACGCAATCGTTGGGATGCTTGGTGGCATGCGAGAGTTCGTCGCGCGAGAGTTTCAACACGTCCGTCCAGTCTGCGCCGTACGTCCACCCGTCCTTGTCGACACTGGCCCAGTTGGACATGTCCACTTCCCACGCGCTGGTCCATTCGCACTCGTCGTCCAATGCGATCGTCGGAAACACGTCGTCGCCGACACCGACCACGGCGCGGTCGTCACCGTATCGCTTTGGATCGATGCTCGGTCGAAGCACAGTCCCGTCCACCCGGTCGTACTCGTACACATACTCCGACATTTGGCCGTCACGGTTCACCTTTTCCGGCTGCTGCTTTGGAACAGGACCGGGGGCGGCCGCGGACACACCCAACGTCGACCCGAGCTTTGACGCGGCCGAGAGGATGCCCCCCAGGCGAGACACGGCTGCCGACGCCGTGGATCCCGAGGGTGGGCCGATCGCAGATGCAAATCCAGTGGCGCTAGCCTTGGCATCGTTGTTCGATCCAGCATTAAGGTACCTGCCGAATGCACTCATGACGACGATGACACCAACCTTGCCCTTGTGTAGCCAAAGTCCGAATTGGTATCCGGATATCGACTTGCATTTACATACATATCCGGATATAGACAGTTCTTCACAACTTTTTGTTGCATCAAATGGGAAATTCCCAAGGGTCGCGATCTTTGGACTCCTGAAAGCGGCAGCTCCAAAACCTTCTCCAGTTGCTCGTGGAAACTAAGCCGAGTTGAGAAACTAGCGAGGTTTTCGACTCGTTGTGCATGTTATTCCCACTTCACAATGTGGCGGTGAACGCGCCTTGCTTGCCGCGCTGTCGTGGGTCGTTCCTGAACTTCTGGGTGCAGTGCAAGTCGTCGGGACATGAAATTACCCCCTGAACGTGCCTCTGCTCCCTCTCGTCGGCGCTATCAGCGCAGGAAACCTTCGTTCATCCACCTACCCCCCGAAGCAGCACCGACGCACGATTATGTTGTTGTTGGTCCGACTACTTCCGCTTTACTGGACCTCCAAACCTGCTTCGTGGCGCCGACAGCGGACATGGCGGCATTCGACGGCAGCCCCGCGATGATAGACCAGATCTTATGTCCGGTGCTGTCCCATCGTGTACTACGAGACGTTGCCGTGGTGTCTTAACAACCCGTGAAGGACGCAGCAGCCGTCGTCCAGGGGCATCAACCACACAATTCTCCAGATCGCCAATCTACTGTTTGGCGGCGTCGGGGCCTCCGGCAAGTTCCCGAGAAACCTGTCTTGCACAAGCTTATGGGACTGGATACTTTCTCCAACGGTACTTCGTCCAGTTCACTTTGCATCACCACCACGCCCCTTCCCCGTGCCCTCGGTGATACGGATGGTGGGTCGCCGTCGTCGCAACATCTCAAGTCGTGGAAGCTGCTAGAAGTGTTGTTAGCCCCTAGTAGAAGTACGAGTTGACCATATAAGTAGATGTAGTAGTTGGATGAGTATGACGACACAAGAGTGTTTGTTTTGGAGCTAGTTTGCAAAGGATTAGAACGACGAAGTTGATCAAGTACATAACGTTTAGCGGGGTGATCACCATGACCTCAGACCTGGCACAGTAGGTTTTGCATGGTCAAGGAGTGTAGGGCCACCTCTTGCATTTGAATAGGCCAAGTATGTTAAGATGAGAGGCATCGCCAACGACAAAAGCAGTGTCCACTACTGCCCGTCAACAAAATTGAGATATTTCCACCGAAGTTCGAAGTAATTCAACTAATCATTTCCGATGAATGGGCAAATTCGAAGTAGCAAGTGTCCCTGAAAATCCGTCGTACACTGTAGTACTTACTACTAGTACTGTACTACCACGACACTACCGCATAAAGAAAAATCACAATTGGTCTTATCCAAACAACGAGCTAAAGTCTGTAAAGCCCGAATCGTCGCACTTTTCCATGGCGGGTTTTCTGTCGGCGATCTCTTGTTGCTTTCGATGGCGGCGGTACCACGATGCTTCGACGGACGCTGGGATCGGCTCGGCGTCCGGCGCGTCGAGGCGCGCTTTGAGCTCGGCGGTGATAGCCACAAGCGCCTCGTGGGTGTGCCCGAGGCCAATCTGCTCGCGCAAGTCCGTGTGCACCTTGAGTTCTTGAAACAAAATCTTAAACAAGTGCGCGCGCAGAAACTTGTCGGGCGGCGGATACTGCTTGGCCAGTTCCAAATACTCGATCGCCAAGTCAATCTAGTGTCAAGCTAGGCATATTGACTGTATGCGATGTGAAGTGTATTACCTGGCGGAGCGGCACTCCATGTGGATCGCGGTCGTTGGCAAAGAGCGCCGGGCGTTCCAGGATGCCCTCGGAAGACATGACGCCTTCCACGCTGGTCTCGTCGAGGCACCGCTGGACGTCGGCGTCGGTTTCGATGCCGCCGTTTGCAAACACTGGGATCGGTAACGCCTTCTTAAGACGTGCGATGGCGTTCCAATCGCATTCCCGAACCAACTACAACTTGATTTGAAACGTCGTCGCAGAAATGCCAAGATGCAGCAGTATGACGTTTGAAACAATATCGCAGAAGCTTCTACCGGACGTACGTACGTACATGCTTGTTCATTTCTTTGGTTCGGCCGTGCACGACAAGCCAGCAGCATCCGGCGTCAATGAGCATGTTGGCAAACGCGAGCGTGTCTTCGTACTTGGGCAAGAGGCGGATCTTGCATGCCACCGGCACGGACAAGTTGGAGCTGAGTTTGGACACGATCGCGCGCACGACGTCGGGCTCGTGCATGAGGAACGCGCCGTACCGACCTTTCTTGGCAATGCCTTGCGGACAGCCCAGGTTGAGGTCGACGGCGTCGCAATGACCTTCCACGTAACGGGCGGCGTTCAACACGACGTCGGGGTTGTTGCCGCAAAACTGGACAAACAACGGCCGGTCCGTAGCTTCGACTTGCCACGCGGTCTCTCTGTATGTGGCGTCTTCGTGAAACATACGCGCATGGAACATGGGCGTGTAGCAAAGGTCTGCGCCGTACTTGCGTGTGAGCATGCGGAAGGCCAACTCGGACTGGTCCACCATCGGTGCCACAATGCGCTTCGGCTGGTGGAGGTCATTATACAGCTTCCAGCCTCGTTCAACTGCGAGCTCTCGCACTGAAGGAGTAGATGAAGAAGATTCGGTGGTCGCAGAGGTAGTGAGGGTAGCCATGGATCGACGAGGAGTGAAGGAGACGCGGCGGAGTGCAGAGAGCGGCTTGGTATGGCACATCAACTTAGCGCGGCGAATGGTGGTTGCAACACCATTATCGCTTTATCCGGATGATTGAGTGCCGCTGATTGGCTGCTTGGTCAAACCCGAGATTATTTAAATAACGTGAATTTGTATGGAGGATTTGTTATTATAATGGCTTCATTTTAAGAGTTATAATAAGTGGAACCTGTATAATCCGATCTTGCATATTCGTGATCCCCTCGGAGAATAATGTCTCGCAGCGCTCTTACCCGAGTGGAGATGCAGCAAGCTCTCGCAAGCCGTGCCACCGCCACCACGAATCCTATGGTCCATGCGATATACCCAGGCACGGCGATGATGCAAGTCCCTGTGGATCCATACTACGTGGAAGAAGCCCGCAGGGTGAAGGAAAACCAACTCCCCATGTACGTCGTTTCAACCCAAGTTTGATGGGTGGTGGACGTGTAAGATGTCTTGCTCATGTGATGATATGATGTAGTCATGGGAACCAAACAACGTACAACTTTAACACACTGCTGTACGACAACGTGATGAACTCCGACTACTTTCGAAAGCTCTAGTACGAACCTCCATGATCAGGGCCTTCCACATCAACATGCTGTACTCACGCTTGGTTGTAGTGAGCTGGCGACGTACCACGAAGTAGTCGACGAAATCTACTACCGTGTGGATCATGCAGGTACATGGAATGGTACCCAAACACAAATGTGTCGTTTGACCCCGTTTCCTGCGCTTCTTAGAACCGTGGGCCGCGGGCACGTCGCGGATTCCATCGACTTGCTTTTGCTTGCTTATGAAGTTCTGTACGATGCGTCTAACCGTGAACCAAATGCAAGGACTCCTCAAGCACGTGGTATGACGCGTTTCTTTCCTCGTCGTGATCCTCCCGTGACAAGTCTCCCATAGGACTCGCCGTTCATTCGATGCGTGGGCTTTTTGTATCTCCGATACACATGCGACCCCGAGTTGCTTTGGGAATGGTACGAACCCTTCCTCGACGACGAAGAAGAGTTCAACGCATCGTCCAACGATGCCATCCTCACGTAAGTAGTTCGTTCATCACCTCTCGCCATGAGTTGCCTCGAGATGCAGTTGAGAGAGCCTATCGCGACCAATACATACAAGGTTCACGGGATCATTCTCTCTCTCTTCTTTTGGAATGGTACGACTTCTGTTGCTGTCGTGTAGCACCATGGGGGCTTGGATTCGGTCCTTGCTGGAAGACCTCAACTACTTCAACACGATCTTGCCGCGCATTCCCAAGAAGATTCAGGACGGGATCAAAGTCAAGGTTATATATATATATTATCATGATAACTATATGGTGGTTTGTATGGGTAGCTGTTGTTACACGGCCAAAAGAAGCAACGCCAAGCAGCCAACCTTGCGATTGTCGAGTATTTGGTCAAAGGCACCAAGGTCAAAGCCATGTACACGGACGAAGACCACCCTCCTGCGGTACATATATATATATATATATATATATATATATCTTGCTTATGTTTGCACCAGAAAATGATATATATATATATAATCTGCTTGTATTTGCATCGCAATATATATATCTTGTTGTGTTTGCACCAGAAAATATTATATATATATGTCTGCTTGTATTTGCATCGCAATATATATATCTTGCTTGTGTTTGCACCAGAAAATATAATATATATATGTGTGTGTGTGTCTGCTTGTATTCGCATCGCAATATATATATATCTTGTTTGTGTTTGCACCAGAAAATATTATATATACATGTATCTGCTTGCATTTGCATCGCAATATATATATATATATGTATATATTATATCACTGCTTCTGTTTGCCCTTTGAATGCATGACATGTCATCGTGACATATCTCACTATTCTAGATGTACGACGCCGTGATTGACGAAGTGGACGATGTCACACACGAGTACTGGGTATGTCATCCACGCTTCAATTGAATATGTGACATGGGCATGTTCCAGGTGACGTTTCCAGAGTACGGCAACACTGAAAAAGTGTCATTGGGGGACATTGCATTTGAAAAGCCGGCGCCGCCTCCGTCAAAGTCCAAGCGATCTCGGTCCATCTCGCGGTCGAGGGACCGGCACCACCACCGCAGTAGCCGACGCCGCGATCGGTCGACGTCTCGGCCTCGCGACCGCCATCGCAGCAGCCGCCGGTCGCCGTCGGAGGAGCGCTCGCGGCACCGCCATCATCGCCATGCCCGCCGTGGGTCGTCGCGTTCCCGCAGTCGAAGCCGCGAGCGCAAGTACGTTGTTGTCATGACAAGGATGAGACGGGACGATGATCATGTAGGGATGCGTCGGGAGCGTTGACAGACGACTTGATGGCCCAAGTACGGGAACAAGAGCGGCGCAAGGCGGAAGCCGTGGGCAAGGACTACGCCGCGCGGCCGGCCAGCTACAAGGGGTCGCTGTCGTTGAAGCAAGATCGGTTCACGACTCGGAAGCGGTCGCGCAGTCCGGCCAAGCGCGACGTCGAGTTTGTCGAGTTGGAGAAACCAAAGGAAGGCACGTTGGCGACGACTTCGTCGCGACCGGTGCAGATGTCGCGGGAGGCAGAGGAACGCCGACGCAAACTCGTGGAAACGTACGGCGATGCCGCGTCCAAGAGTAAGCCGGCGATGTCATCGTCGTCGTTCGCTTAGTAGACCAACGTTCGATGGTAACGCACGAGATAAGAGACGACTGTTCATGTTGACTAGTATGCGATTATTCAACCGTGACGAATTCGTCTTCGGCCAATTCACCGGACGCCTTGATCGTCACCGTCTGGGACGGCGTGCCCGAGCCCGCGCCGACCGATTCCACGGCCTTGACCACGTCCAACCCGCTGATCACGCGACCAAATACAACGTGACGACCATCCAACCACGACGTCTTGACGGTGCAGATGAAGAATTGCGAACCGTTCGTGTTCGGGCCGGCGTTGGCCATGGACAACGTGCCTGGGCCTTCGTGCTTGAGCTTGAAGTTTTCATCTTCAAACTTTTCGCCGTAGATGGATTCGCCGCCGGTGCCGGTGCCGTGGGTAAAGTCACCGCCTTGGATCATGAAGTCCGGGATGATGCGATGGAACGTGCTGTCCTTGTACCACAACGCCTTGCCGGTCTTGCCGAGGCCCTTCTCGCCCGTGCACAACGCTCGGAAGTTTTCCACCGTCTTCGGGACAGACTTCCCGTACAAGCCCATGACGATACGTCCGGCATTGTGGCCTCCGATGGAGATGTCAAAATACACTTGGTGAGTGATCTTTGGGCCCGCCGCGGCCACCACGGACACGAACGCCAGGAGCGTCACGAACAATGCTTTGAATGACATCTTGGCTGTCAAAATGCAAATGAAGATCCTTCCACCACACCACACGTGGCTTTCTAGTTCCCTGTAAAGTGCGGTATTGGATGGCCAACTTGGATTGGCTGAATATTTCGAAAAACGTACTTAATTAAACATGGGTATTTCTAATCACTCAAACTTCAACATTCACATCAACGCAAACGTCGATGTTCAACAGTGTAAACTGTAAATTACGACGAGAAGACGAATGGAACCGAAGAAAAGAGCGTCCAGCATTGACTGCGCTCTTATGACGAGTGATAACTTTATAACTCGCTTGGTACATTCCAATATAACGAGAGGTTCTGGTGATTTGCCTGGGTTTTACCTGACTGTGAATCGATGGAAATAACGTCCTTTTAGTGGTTAGGGTTAACTTAAAAACCACTGGTTAAACAGTAAAAGCAAATCGACTTTCTTGTTGATGGGCGGGGGCCATGGGCGATTTCAAAAGCGTACTTTAACGAGTGTATCATAGAAACTCCCTATTAATAAGATCGCACTTAACGCAAGCACTTCTGGATGGTGTCCCCCTCATCGTGCAATTTCGCTCGCCCTTCCCCCCCTCACCATGGAGCAACCGTCTGTCGTTGAGCACGTTGACCAGCACGACCACCACGGCCACGCCCAAGCGGCGGCGTTTGCGAGAGAGTATGAGCAAGCGCTGCTTCAAGACGACGGGCCGTTGAAAGACGACAAGTTCAAGCTCGCAGTCCAGAGCCTCTTCGTGTGTGAGTGCGGCAAGCACATCGTGAATGCCAACGAGTACAACATTGCGCGCCACAAGTCCAGCAAGCGCCATGCCGAGGCTCTGTCCAACAGCGACTCGGAATTCTTCATCTGCGAATGCGGAAAGCGCCTACTACGATCGCAGAAGGAGAACGAGGACAACATGGCACAGCACCGCGCAAGTCGCAAGCACATCCAAGCCATGGCCAAAAAGCAGAAGCTAGTCCACGTACGTTCGGGCATCTATCTACATCTGTTATGATCTTGAACATGTAGACGGACTTGTGCTTGCCAGGAAGGCCCGACGACACGGTAGAAATGGACAAGCGTTTGGACGACCACTCATATGTATATCCCATAGGTGTGGTCGTCCACGTTGCAATCCCTACGTAGCCAGTACGACCTCCCTTCACAATACCTTGGATTCTCATGGGGATGTTGCAGTGTCTTCAGCCTCGAGCTGATCAAAGAAGCCGAAGACGAACTCATGCGTGGGCTATCGTCGCTGGAACAAGAGTACCAGGTACACACGACGATATATATGTCGCCAGAATCCCATTCTAGGAATGACAAACTTTTCATGTAGCGCACGAGTTCCCTCTTGATGACGGTGGAGAAGTCCCAACATGTAGGTCCTCCATCCATGCTCATGATAATGGCGGTAGTGTCATGGGTCGATGGTAGAAAGCGCACCAAAAAGCCGAAAAGCTGCAGAGTGAGAACATGGCGATCAAGGCGTCCGTGGCGGCAGTGCTCCAAGCGCGGGACCAAGTAATGTGTTTGACGTTGGTCGTACATATCGAGTGAAAAACGAACTACATTGACGCAGGAGATGAAGATCCTAAAGAACATTGCCGACATGCATTGATATCCGGCCCTTTCACCAAGGATAACAACGCCGCCGGCCGCCACCGCTGACGATGCTCTCGACGAGGATACCCCGCGGTCCACGTTGATTCTTTTGTGAAAGGAGTACAAGTCCGACCAGTTCGTTGGGCTGCCATTCTACAGTCTCGCATATGTGCCAACATACACATTCTTCGCATGTGTATATATATAATATATATACCCACACTTATGGTAAAACGTCCATGCATCATTGTGCCCAGTGCTAGTCATGAGGAATGCTGACACTCAATAACTTTTCGAAATATGCCCAGTAAGTACTACAAAGTACTTCGAAGTACAAAGTAGTACCAGTGTACTATTAATAGGTACGAAGTACTAATATTACGTATTAATAGTA